TCTTGCATTTAACCAGAGCACTATCGAGTAGTTTTAACAATTTTGTAGCACCTCTGTAGATCAAAAGACAATAAATGCACAGATCAAATCAGTAATTTTGCATCACCCTTCCAATCAATCAGATCATATCTTTGAAACACTCACTCAACAATGGGTAATAAATCAGTTGAAGAAAATCTGAGCTAATTTGTTTTTGGTTTGATGTTGATTTGATTACCCAATGTGTATTCCCAAAAACAACTTTTTTTCAATCAAGCAAGCTTTAGATGCACAATCTGAGCTAATTCAACTCACTTTACAAGATTTTGATGCAATTTCAAATTGTGTGGTGATTTTTTTAGTTTCTGGATTTATCAGATGCCCTTTAGAATCTGTGGGAAGTAGTTTGAAGGCACTGTTAATTCAACAAGGAAGAAGAATCAGCTGCAGATTAGCAATAGAGGAATTCATTCTATTTCAGATGATATTCAACAGACTTGTCACAATCTTTCTTTAGGATCCTATCACGCTTTTTTGGGTCTGGAGTGCACACTGCTGAATTCATATTTTGATTGGGACCATAAGTTGCTAGATAGCTGGGAGGAACCGACAAAATCTGGAGCTTTAACGAGCCGGTGTCAACAGGTGTAATGCTTGATCCTGACTGGAAATGGATTGTGAAATCTGATGAGACATTTGGCTACAAAAAAATGTGTGGGCCAAGCAAAGACATCACACCCACTGATTTAGAACATTGTTTGAATATGTTACCTATGGCAGCATCTATGTCTTTCTTAGTGACTTTTGGCAGCCTAATATTGAGTTAATTTACACCTATGTCAACACACCCACTAACTTCAGTTTTTTATTGATCTGGAAAATCAAGCTATACTCACCTTGCAAGTGTAGGGCTTGGGTTGTCATGTTTATCCCCATCTGGGGCTTCTGAGGAATCTGAGGATTCAGATCCTGCTTTTCTTTCAATTTTTATCTGATCCAAGTAGTAAGCTAAGTATTGCTATGGCATTATAGCAAAGTCAAGAGACTTACAAAGCAATTTTGGAAACTAGCAATGATTATTCTTTCCACATCCTTGATTTTCCCATCAGACATATATGAAATCGAGTCCCTAGCCCTGTCCCAAAAAGAATGCACGGTAAATAAACCAAGACGCTTACGGATGAGCATGAATATTTTCGGTTGGCTGAAAAAAGTACTGAAAGAAACTAGGCCTACTTTATACAGTGTTGTCGGTTCAGTGAGTCAGCATCGCATGGAGATTGTTTTGCAAGAGAGATATGGAGTAGCATGCTGCTCGCAATGAATACAGTGATGAGCACAGTCATTTTTATTGAGGCTAATCCTACCTACTTATAATGGCCTGACGGAATCTGGAAACAAAAAGTAGAGCAGAAATACATAATGAAATATTAATATCTGTGTATCGGTTACCCATGATGTGATCCTACTAAGTACGTATTTGCTCACCACACGCAGTAATGAAAGGAGCCCTCATCAACAAAAGGAAATTTGGCTTTGCTGAATTCTCAGTGAACTTGTGTGTTTAGAAAGTGAAGTGAGCTAAAGTTTGATTTCCATGGGCTTGATGGCCTCTAGATGTATATGCATCGGCAAGCTCAATGGCAAGTAAAACAAGTGCAATCAATTCAAGATGTTTTAGGGAGAGCTTTTTAAGACCAGCGAGTTGGCCTCACTTGTTCAAGACCCGGATCCGAGTGTCACTTTTCAAGCGTTGCTCGGCCAGGAGCAACTTGTACCCAGCCAGCAATTTTGTTCGCCCGCAGGGTGCAAAGTGGGCCCCAGTAACAAAAATCCTACACAATCACACCCCAATGAGCAGGCAAAAGGTGTGTGTACTTGCTCCGAGTGAGATTCCACAAACCTGTACATAGAACATCGCCGGGGAGTGTTATTCACCGGCAAGCGAGTAAATCCCTGGAGGCCAGCTTGGAAGTGGCAAGTCTGAGTATTGTGAATGCAAATCAGACTTTTCATTACTCCTCAATGGGGTAATGAGGATCCACCTTAGCATTATACACATGGCTTCTACTTATTGCTTCCAGATTCGCCCACCGCTTATAATGGGTTACTATACCGCAGTGATGGCGAGATCTGTCGAGGTTAGGGATAGGGAAAGGCAGCCTCCTTCACCGTGCAATCTTGGCAGGCTAAATAGTATTTGAAGAGCTGACTTAAGGGTGCTGGAACTCAAGCACCGGTGCTCGCTGTTAGGAGCTGGTCGTTATGGACCTCCGGCGAAGGCCCAGTAGAGGAGGATGTAAGCCAAATGAAAGGCCTCCATTATCGCGCAACCGAAATCGACAATCAAGCTGGAGCACTGTATTGAAACATTAAAACCACGTAAAGAATGAAGTGAAGTGGGTGTTACCACCCAACTGGCAACATCAATCAGACACTTGGTTGCATGCAGCCAAACAAGCTTATTTCCAAGTCAAACGAGGGCTAAAATCTCCTTGAATCTTCACTCCTTTCCTCTATTCCTAAAGTCTGAGTCTCTTGTGTCCAAACGTTTTTCTTCTCAACTTCAAGCTTGAAAATTGCAACAGCAAATGCAAAAACCAATGCAAGCTGTATTCCTCTCAGTGGCCAAGAAAATCCTTCTGGGCTGCTGAGAGCTTGAGCTTTCTGGTGCCAACTCCCAAAAACACCTGGGGGGTGGTTTATTATTATTATTGATAGTTTTTTTTTTTTTTTTTGGGGGGGGGGGTTGAATCCCAAACCTTTCAAACAATTTGGAGGATTGATTCACAAAAGTTGAGGATAAAAAAAAAGGGGGATTGCTGAGACTGTCATTTCATTTCTTCTCTCGTTATGTTCTACACATCCGTCACATACACTTCACATGCAATTGTAGTTTACCTGAGACAGATTTGAGCTTGTGAAATTTCTCTCTTTCCCCATCCTTCCACAACCTCATCTTCTGTCTCAGGTAAGTTCTCTCTCATGTTTTTCTCTTTATTTTTGCTTTCAGGTTTTTTTTCCCTCATATGATCATTGCTTAAGTAATTCTAATCTTGTCCTTCCACAACTTCTTCTTTTAACCAAGCCCCTTTCCTTTTTGAATATATTTTTTCAGGAGTCAACTCCCAAACCCCCAGTAGGCCAATTAAAGTTGGGAGGGGGGGGAACAGGGGGAATAACTTCATGAGATGGTCCTCAGGATGTCCCTGGGTTTTGGGAGTCAACTCTCCAATATTTGGGAGCCTATTCCTCAAGCCCAATAAATCAATTCTGCTTATTTCTGTGTATCATCTAGTTATCAGGCTCACTGCACATCACCACTCTCACTGCATGTCAGCCTTAGAGATCCTCCAGAGTATCCAAAAGACTGCTGAATGAAATACTTTACATGCAATAACTCTCTCAATTTTAAGAAAAATTAGAGATTTGTTTCTTAAACAGCCGTTCCATAAAATTCTTGATAGGTTTGCTCACTGAAAATGAAAAATGAATATTAAATACATAAGATCTGCCACCTTGAGATCTAAAGATGGATATATGCTGTGCAGATTTAGACATACAATTTTCTGGTAGAAGTCAATATAGTTGCCCACTCTTTCATACAAAGTGGAAAATCTAGAAGATTGATTGAAACTATGGGAAACACAAGTTAAGAATATCACAATGGGATATTCTCCTCACTATTCTACCATCCTTTTTGTCAGCGCCGGTCTCTTATGTGACCTGGCATTGATGGGGTGAGGATCACACTATAACTGCTAGCGCTAACTAGCAGCCAATGGAAAAGAAACCTTTCCTCAACGCTAGAAAGCGGAGGGGTTAAGCTCCCTGAAGTTATAGGGGACGCGTGCAGTAAGGTCTTTGCAGCTCCGGGCTTAGAGCAATGGACAGCTCTCTTCTAGGCTGCAGTAGTGACTTTACTGTAGTCTAGGGTTGAGATGGGATGGAAGGATGTAAAGGAAAAAATAGGTAATAGTTCTATAGATTATAATAAACCCCACTCACTATTGGATGTAAGGTAAACGGGTTGTCTGGTAATCTCTGGGGGGAGGATTCTTGGGAAGAAGACCTCCCCCTTAAGTATTACAAAGGCAGGGGTCAACCTGCCTGTGAGAAGGCAGGGGCCAACCTTCCTGTGAGACCGGTGAGGCCTACAGATGATCATTTATGTATATAAATCATAAATGATCAAAATATGTATACAAATCAAGATTTAAACCAAAAGTGGAGGAAATGATGTCATTCAAGCTCAAAGGGGAAAGACTGATGTCATCTCTCTAATTAAAGTGTATAGAGAGATGATTAAGCTTTCATGCTATATGTATATAATCTTTCTAAATATGAATATTGATACAGAGGTAAATACTTAAGTAATTCCGTGGAATTACTTAAAGCATAAAAGTATAAAATAAAATAATAAGAATATAAAGTTACATAATTGGGACTTGGACCCAAGTGTGTTGGTGAGGCAAAGTCATAACACAGTCTTTAACCAATACACTACAGTACATGTGCTTGTTGGTTAAGTACAGGTTGTAGACACATGGGCTACAGCCTCAGTGTCTGACACTTTTGGAATATTCTTCATGTCCTGGTTGATATTTATGGAAACTATATCTGATAATCTTTGATCAATTTCATCAACATGAGATGTTCTTAGTATAAGGGGAAAAACAATTCTGACAATATATGACAAAAGAATGTTCCACACAAAAAAAAAGAAACTCATAACCTTTTGGAAACTTTAGGGTCTGTACTGTGGGATTCAATTTTAAAAATCTATCTCATTTTTTTCTGTCTTCACAAAAACTGAAAACAAGCTAGAGAGATCTATTGTTGAAATTCTTTCAGTTTTAGGACCAAAAGTTTCTGTTTGCAATAGTCACTTCTCATGATATGAAAATTTGAGGGAAAAAAATCTGGAAGATGAGATTTTCAAGCCCTATGGTACAGGCCCTTATAAGTAGATTTCTAAAAACTTTTATGAAGTGTGGATATACTGTAGACACATCCATATCCTACGATGGTGAAGGATTGGAAGATACCTCAATTTTTATCCTTCCGTTCAATCCAGTTGTCCCTTTTAGGATTGCCATATAATTGGGCTATCAAGGAATCACAAATCAATTTCTGTCTATCTGCACAAATTCAAATCTTGCCTACCTCTTTCTTACACGTAACCAGAGAACTATCAAGTAGTTTTAACAATTTGGAAGCACTTCTGTTGATCAAAATACAACAAATTCATGGATCAATCACATCAGTAATTTTCCATTCCAAGTTAAGTTAATCAGAACATGATCTTGAAGCACTTACTCAACTATTGGTAAATAATCTGTTGAAGAAAACCTTAGCTGAATATTCATATTTGATTTTGATTTGTTTCCCCAATCAAATTCAATTAGAACATTTTTTTCCTCAATCAAGCCAACTTGATATGCAAACTCTGAGATAAATATCTAACTCACTTTACAGGAATCTTCTGCAATTTCAAATCGTGCTGAAAGTTGTTTAGTTTCTGGCTTGATCAAATTCCCTTGAGAATCTGTTGGAATTTTTTTGAAGGCGCTGATGATATATTAAGGAAGAGTAATCAGCTATAAATTGACAACCAAGTAGATGATTATAATATATTCAACACACTTTTCACAATCTTTCTGTAGAATTCTACCTGGTTTTTTTGGTTCTGGGGTGCAAATTGCTGTGTTCATTTTTTGATTGGGACCATAAGATCCTAAATAGTTTGGAGGAACAGTTGAAATTGTGAGTTTTATTGAGCCAGTGTCAACAGGGGTAGTGCTTGTTCCTGACTGGAAATCGTTCATGAAAACTGATGAGATACTTGGCTACAAAAAAATTAAGTGGGCCAAGCAAATTAATCACTTACTGATTTAGGACATTGTTTGAATATGTTACCTATGGCTGCATCAATATCTTTCTTAGTGACTATTGGCAATCTAAAATTTGTGGTAATTTACATCTATTCATGTCAACACACCAACCAACTTCCAATTGTCTCAATTTGGAAAAGTGAGAGACATACACTCACGTTGAACTTTTATGTCTAACACTAGGCCCTCCATTCCCATCAGAGCCTGAAGGTCCTTCTTTTCCTTCTGGTCCTGAACTTTCACGTTTAATGATGGAACCTCCATCAGATCCTGCTTTTCTTTCTACTTGTATCTGATCCAACTTGCAAGAATTCAGTCAATTATCTCTGTTGATTCAATGCATATTCAACAGACTTACAAAGCAATTTTGGAAACCGGCATTAATATATTGTTCAACATCCTTGATTTTGTTATCAGGTGTATATTTAATTGAGTCCCTAGCCCTGTTTTGAGCAAAAGATCAAGATCAATGCGGAGCAAACAAAACCAAGACGCTTGTGGATGAGCCGGAAAATTTTTTGGTTGGCTGAAAAAAAAAGTACTGCTAGCGGATGGATCTGAAGGAAACTAGGCCTACTTTATGCAGTCTTGTCGGATAAGTGAGTCAGCATCACAAGGAGATTTTTTTGCGAGAGAATTGTGGAGTAGCAGGCTGCTCGCAATGAATACATTGATGAGCACAGTCATTTTTATCGAGGCTATTCCTGTCTATATATGGGTTACTTATACCGCAGTGATGGTGAGATCTGTTGAGGTGAGGGATAGGGAAAAGCAGCATCCGCGTAATCTTGCCAGCCTAAATAGTCTTTGATGAACTGGATGAAGGGTGTTGAAACGCAAGCACCGGTGCTCGCTGTCAGGAGTTGGTCGCTATGGACCTCTGGCGAAGGCCCAGTACTAGTAGAGGAGGATGTAAGCCAAATGAAAGGCCTCAATTATCGTGCAACCGAAATCGACAATCAAGTTGGAGCACTGTATTGAAACATTTAACACCACGTAAAATGAAGTGAAGAAGGTGTTACCACCCAACGTTATCCAGACACCATGCTGTGACCATGCAGCCGAATAAGCTTATTTCTCGGTCAAACAAGGGCTAAAATCACCTCGACTCTTTCCTCCTTATTATCTCTATTCCTGACGTCCAAGATCAGTTTCTCTACAAATTTTGAGAGAATCGAATATCTTTTCCTGCATGAAATTCTATCTTCTCAATGTCAGGCTTGAAGATTGCAACAACCAATACAGCTTGGGTTGGGGCAGAACCAAAAAAGTAGACTTGAAATTTTAAATCTTTGAAATCCATCTGATTTTAAGAGAGGCTCGACTGAAAGGGAATCCAAGCCTTCATTCAAATCACGAAAGTTGATGGAAATCTTCGAAATGTAGTTATGTATAGCCTTCCTGTCTTGTCATCGGCTGCTGCTGATGATCCCAAAAGACATCTTTGTGTTCAATTGATTTGTTCAGTGCATAAATATGTAGTTAGTTGCTCAAAGAAGTGAACTTGAGTGAGTGGAGACAAATAGGCTCCAGTTGGTCGGGATAACGAGAGGTGGACCGACCAGTTACCGTAGCCTAAGTGTGTTAAGTTAGCTAGTTACCCGGTGGGTACAAAATTTGGGAGTTGATCCCCAAGGACATCTTTTTGACCAACACAACGACCCCAGTCAAGAGAGCACATACAAGTAAGTCATCAACCCATACCTTATCTCTGATGCTTAATGTATTTATGTCACTCATGTTGAAAAAAAGAACCAAGAAATTTAGGTCGAGAACCCTGATCAAAGATAACAAACCCTTGACATACTCGATTGACGATGAGCATCTTTAGGACTGAGAGTCTGAAGGATTCAACAGTATTAATAACTGGGGCATCTGGCGTGAGTGATATATGCAGACACTGAAAACCACATGAAAAATCATAATCGGGGGAAGCTCCGATGCATATTACCACCATCTGACCTTGAAAATGGTGATGATGATGAATTTTTAGGGGATCGGTGCAGCGACGGCGATCCTATTTGCCCGAGCAGGCGCGAATCTGATCATCACAGCCCGGCGAGAATCGGTTCTAGAGCAAGTCAAACAGGCCTGTGAGAAGGCCAATCAAGACAGTGCGGTCGGCCATGGCGGACGGGTCTCGGCGTTGGTCTTGGACATGCAAGATCCGAAAGCGATCGACTCTTTCTTAGACCGAGTCCCATCGGAGTTGAAGAAGATCGACGTGCTCGGTAAACCATTCCGATTAATTTCCATCATTCACAGATTTCTAACCATCGTTCTTCTTGCATCATGGATATCCTTCTTCTTTTTTTCAGTTAATAATGCTGGGTTGGTCTATGGTCGGGACCCAGTTGGAGAGTTGAACTTTGAAGAAGTTCAGGTGATGATCAGTTGAGTCTTTTTGTACATACGAAGAGCAAAATACTGCCTGTGGACCAATGCTGACCGTTTTACAGACACCAATGTTTTGGTATGTCATCTATCGTAAAGCTTTACCGAACTCGAACAACAAAACAAATTGCTCATGACGAAATCAATACGCAACTCGATTGGGACGAGTAGGGCCTCATACGAATGACGAACCTGATCGTGAAAGGTGATCAAGAAATCATGTATCATAATTACTTTGTATTCGATTCTTATACCTGACAAAATCTTTATCTCATCACTCTTGGAATATCAAAATATGGCCATTCGGATCAGGAATGAAGGAGCGTGCAAAGGGGCAGTTAAGTCCACTCCATGTGAAGACTCTTCATCCTGAAATAATTATCATCCAAAATCACTGAGATAACATGTTTATTCCGACATAGCATCATTAATATTGGATCGATTGCTGGACGAGAGCCTTACGCAGGAGGATCAATATAGCAAGTCCCAGTATTTTCCTTTCCCTCATCTCCTGTCAGACAAAAAAATAATGGAATGCTTGCAAAAAGAACTTCTGATTAATTGAAATGGGTATACGCAGTTGTGCAACCAAACATGCGGTGAATGCCTTCTCAGGTGCGCTTTTAAGAGAGCTAGTGTCGACCCCTCTCCGGGTTTCAGAGATCCAACCAGGAATGGTGGAGACCGAGTTCTCAGTGACCCGGTTCCGAGGCGATCGGAAATTGGCAGACGCCGTTTACGACGGTTCGTATCCCCCCCTTTTTTTCTTTCTCTTCCACCTCCCTAACACTTCCCGGAAAGAATTAGAGAGACACTTTTCGGACTTATTAATTTTATTTTTCTTTTTGGGGGATGATCGGTGTAGGTTTGGATCCTTTGACGGCCGCAGATATCGCCGAGGAAATCGTCTGGTGTGCAGCTAGGTCAGTCACCATTCATTCAAGATTCACAGACCACCAAATCGTCCCATCTCATCTGAATCTCTCAAACCCCCGTCATGGGTCATTGAATTCTGATACAACCAGACCGCCCCACGTCAATGTGGCCGAATTATACGTAAGTCACAACTTCTTTTTTCTTGCTCGACTGATCTTTCTTCCTGAGATGCTCAACTTCTAGCCTAGCTGCTGGCCATCCAGTCTTAACCAAAAAAAAAAAAAAAAAAAACCACAATCAACTGATTTTCGTCTTTACTGTGTGCTGTTTCTTTTCTCAGGTGTTGCCGACCGCCCAAGCCAGTGCAGGAATCAGTCATCGACAAAACAGTTAGACGCTGTGATCGTGTCCAGAACTCTTACACTACTATGTACTCCCGCAAAAGCAGTAGCAAAACAATCGAGAGAGATGCATGCATCATCCATTGCACATAAGTCTCGCCACATCATACGAAAGGTTCATGTTCTTTAGTCAAATTCAGCTTCATGTCGTCGATCATCAGCCTATGTTACGTCGTTAAGAATCGTTAAATGTAAGATATAAATCTGTGTATCCATTCAGTTGCTATCAACAAATCATAGATTAAAGCTCATGCAACAAAATCAGTGATCAAGACAGAATTTCATCAACACAATCATGTTTGGAAAAAATGATTCTTGAGTTGATCTGTTTGCATAGTGGTCTTGAGCTGAGCTCATCCACCACTGGATAACTGCCCCGGACATATTTAGTTCCACAGGTGGCAATTTAATCGTAACATATCTTGGGAGACCATAGTATAGACATTAATCCAGCTTCGACGCCTCGACATTTATCACACCCCTTCCCTTGGTAATCTTGTTTTCGGAGAATTGCTGTTCATTTTTTACTAGAAGTCCTTTTTTTTTTCTTGTCTACCACAACCAAAAAATTACATGTTGAAGAAAAAGAGAAAAAAACCCCTTTGATGATTATGTAGTGCTTTGAAAGGGACAAAACAAAGCTGGGAAATACACATTTTTGTTTGGGGGTGTGAGAGAAGGAAAAATGGAAGAAAGAAAAAAAAATGGATGGGTTCTTAAGTGAACAAAAGGCAATATGTGATTGATATATATTTATATATAAATAATTGAAGAAGAGAGTATGTCAGTAGAAAAAATTGATGGTATCTGTGTATGATCAACAAACTCAAAAAAAAGAAGAAGAGAAAAAGGTCTTGTACACATGAAGAAAGAAAAAGAAAAGATGCGGAGTGAATGTATTGAATTTCAAAGAGTCTAGATACCAAGGGCCTTTTCGGCCTTCCGCAGTTCTCGAGAATCATCGTCTTCATCATCGTCATCATCATCATCGTCGTCGTCGTCGTCGTCCTTTTTAGGACTAGCAGAGGGGGCGACAGAGCGAGGCGAGATCTGATCATGATAAGAGCGATCCAGCCCGTCGATCTGTCGATCATCCTCGTCCTCCTCCTCCTCCTCGTTGTTGTTATGATCAGAGACTTTGAGGACCAACGAGTGGGTCTCTTGTTGCCGGTCGTGATCGCGAGCGCCCAAGGGTCCGAGCCGGATCCGACTCTCCCGGCCGGGTTCCGTCGGCCCGCCCTTCGCTTTCTGGCCCACCTCTTGCTCCTTCACCCATGTGTAATATACGGATCCCGCCAGGATCAGCCCGATCCCCGTCACTCTGCCACTCGTGATCTTGTCCCCAAATAATGTCGCCCCTAAAATCGTCTGTTGATTATTTTTGTTTCTCGAGTCAGTTTCTTTTTGTTTTTTCTTTTTGTTTTTTGTTTGTTTGTTTTTCTGTTTCTTTTGAGGTTTTTGGGCTGAGGTCCACCCATTTTGTTTTCAAACTATCTACAGGAATATCTGATTCTTAATGTTTGGATCCATCTATCCAATGTTTTCTTAAGTGTTTTGTAGATGGGCAGGAACAAAATAGCGAAATTGTATGAATATATATGTAGGTGGGGGAGAGGTTTGAATGACAGAGTGGATAACGATAAATATATGTGACTTTTTTTTTGGAAAGTGGATTGAAAAGAAAAAGGATTAGGAAGAAGAGAGAAAGGAAGAAGAAGAGGAGGACTACCCACTTGGATGACGCCTCTGACTGCGGAACTGATCATGTGGGTGACGGGAGAGGTGACTTTGATAGAGAGGAGGCCGGCGATGCAGATGAAGAAGCCGAAGAGACCGGTGACGAGAGTTCCGAGGAAGAAGGTTCTAAAGCGCTCGTAGCCGTCGGAGAAGAGCGCGAAGATCGTCGGGGTCTCGCCGACGAGGAGGACGAGGGGCAGGACGATCAGCGCGGAGAGGCCGTTGCTGTAGTAGGTCAAGGCGATCGTCGAGGGCACTTTCTCAAGCGTCTGCTTCACCACGATCGCGTGCACCGCCGTCGTCACTGACGATAGAATCCCTAGAATCACCCCCGCTTGCGAGACCGTCATCCGCTCCGAACTCACGCCTAACATGAACCCCAAACATACGATTCCCACTGATATGTATATCCGCATCGATGCTCTGGTGCCCAAAAACATGTGTGATGCAAAGACTGTGAATGGTAAAATTAACCCTCTTGCAACCTAAAAAAAAAAAAAAAAAAAAAGGGATCAGAGATCGAAAGTTTCAATCTATTTTTGTGAGGGAGAAGATGGGAGAGATTAAAAATACCTGATAAAAAGAAGCATCGACGAACTTTAAACAATACGTATTAAAGATCAAGCCGGAGACATTGATAAGGACCATGGGCAAGACCGACTTGAGCACTTTGAAGTGGGAAGCAGAGTTGAAGAGACTCCTGAAGAGATGTTGGGGTAACTTGATCAGTCCTGCGAAGTGGGAGAGCTTGAGGAGGACGACGGCGATTACCAATTGACAGAAGAGCAAGAAGACCGGGACTGAGACTGAGTTGAGGACCCACTGGAATCATATGAGCATATCAGTTCCTATAATTTTCTTGATTGATTTGATTTTGATGAAAAGAGAGACAGTGAGACTGACTTTGTTAACGAAGACCATGACCAATGCGGCGACCAGATAGAAGCTGACGGTGAGGAAGACGAGTGTCCGAGAAGGGGTAGTAGTGGTAGTAGAACTCGTCTCTGATCCAGTGTTGTGGTGTTCTGGGAGTAGCTGTCCAGTGGGTCCTCCTGTCCCTTTCATCCTGCCCTTCTTTTGCTTCTTGCTATGTATGTCTTCAGTTGTCTCCTTCTGGGGGCTGGCTGAGGTTGGGCTGATTTTTGGCTTGGTTGTTGGTTGGTTGAGCAAAATATGATCGATTGGCTCATTGCAATCGATTACGTAATAGTCCTGTAGCCGAGCCCACCGGATTCGGATCCGGCACATCTAAAACCCGAGATCCGACTCTGCCGGCAGGTATCTGCGAAGGAAGTTGTTCCTCGCGAAACGAGCCTCGCTTCGCGATGTGCGCCCGGCTCTCTCCCCCGCCTACCCGGCCCTCTGGAGGCCGAGGGACTTCATATTTACGGCTTACATAGCCCAGTCGACGGGGCACCCCGCCAAGCGAGGCTTGTTTGGCAAAGGGCACTTCCACTCCAGGCCAAACTTAACGCTAGTTCCTTTTCCCTTCTCTCCTGGCATGGCCTTGGAGTTGCCTACACCAAGCAAAGGGAGGTATTTGAAAGGAAGGGGTGTCCAATTTGGGGTGAGAGCCACAGTGGCTTGATCCCCATTAGGCAGACGAAACATTTCACCTGCCAAAAAGCCCATCTTACCATGGCTCCCCTGGACTGCCTTTCTCTATGAGATAGAAACCCTGTGGGGCTCCCCCTGCTCCAGGCCTTTTCAAGCTTTCTGCCAGGCTAGGGTTGACAGCACCACCTTTTTTGATTGGTTTACAACTAGGGGTGCCTGCCAAACCACCATTTGGCCTACAGTGCCCCACCTAGCTGGGTGCCCACTAAAAAGTCCTGTTTTTTATTGGGTTTTATTGTAATAAACATCAGTCAGATAATGGCCAAAGCTGAGACCAACAAACAAAAACTATTTTCCAGTACAAAGAGGGTCTTAAGTCAATCAAAATCTGAGCTCTGAACCAGAGCATTTTGCAGACCCTGTGGTCTGCCCCTCATGGCTATTGGTAACACTGGGTTTCTACTTCACACTGCACTATCTGCATCATCCCAGTAATGTAGTTAGTGTACTTGATTCTTTCCCTGATACAGTAAAATTATCTGTAGTGGGAAATGTTTCTCTCAGCTAGGAGAACCAAGAAAATTAGAATGTCTCTTGCTAGCAAGTCACATCAAGGAAGCTTTGGGGGAGCCTTCACTGAGGATTTGGTAAGCCTTGCCTTTGTAAGCATCCAAACTGTCCCTCCACCCCTTTTTCTACTAGTGCAATATGGATGTGTGTTAGGTAAGCTTTATTGAACCTATGGGTTTTTTTATTTATTGCCTAAATCAAAACCAGAACTGGTGACACTCCCACCAGAGCCCAGAAACTCACCACACAAGATTGTCAACATTGGTCGCAAGTCTCCGCTGTGGGGAGCTCCATTTGGCAACTATCTGGCCAGTGCTACACTGCCAGATGCACCCCAAGAATTGTGTCAAGTTTGGGTAAATTCAAGTACACACACCACCCACATTTTTGAGAACTCTGATCAGGACCTGGGTGCACACAGTGCTTCACCCCCCTCCCTATGTTGTGGTCAACCCTATCCCAGGCCCTCCAATCAAGGGGCTCAGGTCAAGTTAGCTTGAACAAGGGGATTGACTACATTTATATGCATACCAGTAAAAGGGAGGAAAGAGAGAGAGATGACAGAATTCCAACAAGTATGTATGTAGTAAAAGGCAGAGGGAGGCTGAACATTTTGTTGCCCAGCAGCAAAAACAGTGTAAATTGGTGGGTACTTGCTGAAGAACCTGGGTACCTGCCACCTTTCCAGAGATTCTTGAACACCCTCACCCACACAAAGACAAGGACCGGGTACCTGCTGGCAGATTGTGGGTACCCGTAACGGGTTTGCCGGGGCCATCTCTAATCATCTTCATGTTTTTTTTTTTTTCATGATACTAGCACGTAGTTCATGTTGAGAAGGATTGGAGTTGCTTCATCAGGGAAAAACAATTCTCGAAAAACATAGTTATCAAGTCTTCAAGTGACATTGGCCGATTTGATGCGGACCCGACTGGGCAGCATTCCATCATTGAATCGGATTAATACAATATGGTTTTTACATATGTCACAGAAACTCACCCGAGCTGCTGGTTGGGATGAGCAGAATCTGTGACATCTACAGATCCATCGATCCGAGTGGTCAAGAAGCAATTCCCGAGGACAACAAACCATCCGAAGAACGGAGGAGCGATACATAAATAGAAGGACAAGGAAGAAGGCCAAAAAAAATAAACGGAACGAGCGGGGGATGCCGTCGAACACACACAAGAACCGAGGAGGCGGACGCGGGAAAGGGTGCAAGCCACGCCGACTGGGCACCAGTCGTCCCCAGAAAGACATCAGCCATTACCAGTCTGACGGCTTCAACATCGACCGGCCTGGCTCGTTGGTCAAAACCCAGGAACAGGAAACTCAGATCCAGCTCGAGCTCGACCAGAAGAAAATTCACGATCAACTCAATGGTCTCCAGCTAGGCGTGTTTTCTTTCTTCTCTGATTTGTTTATGTCACTTTTTTTCTTTCGCTTTCCCTCCCCTTTTTGATGTTGCCAATCTTTCAAAGCAAAACGAGAAAAAAAACAAATAACTAACACATGGGTTTTTTCTTTTCCCAGATTCAAACGACCAAGTGAAAATCGAATTTCCTGTAGCTATGTGGGTAAGCCCAAGCAGAGAGAGAGAGAGCGCGCGCAAAAGATGATCTTTGACAACTTTGAGATCCAGATGAAAAACCAACGGCTGCTAAAAAAAACGCAGTTCTCTTATAATCTGATTGATAATGTGTACAGGATTTTGATCATTGCGATCCCCGAAAGTGCACGGGAAAGAAGTTAGGTAGACTGGGGTTGATGACCGAACTACGAGTAGGCCAAAGGTTTCGAGGGATAGTACTCAGGTAAAGTTAGACCAGAAAAACGGCGATTTTTGTCCAAACTGAGAAACCTAAAACTCCACCAATGATTTACGATGCCGATGATAACGAAACACAAAGTCCGGAAGGGACGATACCAGTGAGCCCGGGCGACCTCGAGCAGATCACGAAGCACGGGATTGCGGTCGTCGAATGTTCGTGGGCCCGGTTAGAGGAGATTCCGTTCTCGAAGATCCGGACCACTGGCGACCGCTCCCTGCCCTACCTGACCGCCGCCAATCCAGTCAACTATGGCAAGCCTTACAAACTGACCTGTGTCGAGGCCGTCGCTGGCTCGCTCGCAATCGTTGGCCTCCAGGCTCAGGCGGAATTGTTGCTGCAGAAATTCGGATGGGGACATGCCTTTTGGTCCCTCAATCAGTTCGCATCTATTATCTCTCTCTCTCTCTGTTGTTCTAACAACCTCCATCAGAATTCTCGGGCTGATTTCAAACAAATCAATGGTTTTATTCTTATGTCAAGGGATTTGATTCAAAAGTATCGTGCATGTGAGGATAGCCAAGCGATCCAATCGGTCCAAGAAGAGATCCTCGAGACGATCGAAGAAGAAGCGAGGGAACGACGTGAGTCGGGCTGTCCCTTCTCTGATCTCTTTACGCCGACCGATCTCCAAGTTTTGAGTTGAATTGTGTGGGTATTGTTGTTGCTGTTGTTGTTGTAGGTCGGACTCCTGAAGACGACGATCTTCTCGTCCCTAATCCTAATCATATCAATCATCATCTAGATGATGACGAGGAGGATGAGGATTCTTCAGAAAATGACGAAACTCGAAGCGATCCAGAATAGTTTTTTCTTCCACATCAATTTTTTTTTTTTCATTGTCATGTACACATAGAAACATTCCCATAAAATACATATACTACTTGTGTACTAAAAACGAAAATCTCGAGCGTCATCGCTTTTGAAGGCGATCATCGAGAGGAATACAGGAACAAGAAGGTGCAAGACAAGATAGCGGATTCGATCTGCGGCAACATGGTTGATAACTTCATGTCTACGGTCAAGCTTCAGCCGTCCCACGTTTTAACTTACAGCCAGACGATCACTGCCAACAGATGGAAAATCGAGCTCAACAAAGCCTCCGCTGTGCGAGGCCGAGGGAAGGCGAGGGAATCGTGTTAAGTTCGATGGAAAATCGACTCCAGTGTACCGCGGCCACCAGGAGTAGGCAAAAGAGCCTCTTTCGGCGAGATGCACCCGGTCGCCAGTCAAGATTGCCTAGGTGGCCCCGCGGTCCACCTCTCCAAAGAAGAGCCTCTTTTTTTGGCGACCGATGCCCTTATGAAGAATTTAGTAGATGATCTTAACAGACTATATATATAGACTCATCTACTGACCATCCACCGAAAAAAAATCATTCTTATAAAGAAAACAAACATGGTTTAGGATGGGAATTGGTGGGTGAGATGTACATGATTGCTCATGGACGATGATGGACATTAATGCACATTGCACATACTTAGACATTTTCTATAAGAAACAACAACATTGATCGTCAAGAAAAGAAAAATTAAAAAACAAGATGGATAAACAAAAATGGAAGGATATATTATTCAAGTCGACCAAAAAAAAACGAGAGTAAAAAAGAGGAAGAGAAGAGGTGTGTGTGTGTGGGGGGGGGGGGGGGTTGAGAAGTGGGTGATGGACGTATGGGAATGAGAGGTGTCTTTCGACACAACAAACAAACAAACAAACCAAAAAAAAAAAACGAAAACTAAAACTAAAACGCAAACGAATACGAAAGAAGTGGATACGGCCATCTCAATGAGTCGGGGATATAGACATGCACATGGCTCGACTACCAGTTCCATTCATCCACCAACTCCCCGCGAAAAAAAAAAAAAAAAAAAAAAAATCAAGACTGATCAAAAAAAAAGAGATTGCTACTCAAACATCGAAATCGGGGGTTTGTATTTTTGGTTGGTTGGTTGATTGATTGATGAGAGGGTCCAGATTGTATAAAAGAAGGCAGACGGCGGAGATCGAGGTATGTAGGTATTCGAGATGCGAACAAAAGAGGGAGGCTCGAGAGTAAGCTTTCTGGCCGACCCCCCGAGAGAGAATAAATGTATCGAATGAGGAAAGGGTGGAGGATGAGATTATAACGAGGGCTATCTGGATGATGATTCGGAAGTGGGATCGGCTCGAACGCTCACACAGACAGACGGTTGAAGACCATGGAATGTGGAACTAGACAAGGCTGGAAGATGATCGAGGAGGAGCCGGATGAGTTTTCTAGAGCAGAGGTCCGAAAGCGGCGGGGGGATGAGTAGCGGGCCAGGCGGGAAACGGGTCGTGTTGGAGGGCGAGGAAGAGCTCGGATTGGTGGAGGGGGATGTTGAAGGTCTTTGCGATTCTGGTCCGATCGGGCCCGGCCGAGGCGAGCAGCTGGTCGATCCCGATCTCGGCGAGTGGGTCCTCCTCCTCCTCCTCCGTCGAGCCGACGCTCTCTGGAGTCGTGTGATCAGTCGTCTGCACCCCCTCCTCTTCTTCTTCTTCGTCTGTCGTGGTGTGTTGTGCTTGGTTCTCGGACTCGTTGGGCGTCCGATTCGGCGACGAATAGCTCGTCGGTGGTCGTTCTTGGTGTTTGGCTTCTAGTTTACTCTGATGGGCTCGATAATAGATCCGGTAGTTTTCCGCCGAGAACTCGGGAGCCTATCAATTCAATCAAACACCAAAAACAAAGAAAGGAGTCTCCAAGTCCTCGTCAGTCTCTGAAACTAATCCACCCCCAAACCGTGTTTTTTTTTTTTTTTTTGGTATACATAAGAAGGAAAATGGCGGATCTCGTACTGACTTGGCGATGATACTTGCGGTAGAGGATCGAAGACAATCGAATGTCGCCTCTGGGATAGCCATCCACGAAGTCGAAAAGGCTCTGTTCTTCCTGCCGATTCATCTACATATTTCCAAAGCAAGCAAAGACATCCCCCCCCAAAGAAAAAAAAAGGAAAGAGTTGAGTAGGGGGAAGAGCAGAGAGAAGCAGAAGAGTAGACATTTACGGGGATGGCCCGGATGTGAGGGTTCCACCGGGGAGGGCCTAGTTCCTGATGGGTAGAGGCGAAAAATTGGCGGGCGAGTTCTTGCAGATGATGAGGGTTATTGTTGACATGCCGAGCGGCCGAGGGGATCCGTTGGAGAGGGAATTGATCACGAGGAGGAGGATTGTTGTTATTCTTGGGAGTTGAAGAAGGAGTTTTAGGGCGAGTCTTGGGAAGGAGGAGGTCGGAGGAATCGGGCTGCGGGTCCGAGTCGCTATCGATCTCGATGATGTCGATGACCATCGGCTTTTTCCCTTTATCGATCTTCTCCATCGTTCTTCGACTCCCTCTTCTTTGTTGTTGTTCGTGATCAGGATCTTGTTGTTGGGAGTGGTGATGTTTTTTTTGATGGGGATGATGGTTGAGTGAGTTCGAGGGGAAGCAGGAGGGGCGGTTCGGTCTGCTTGATGATAAGTCGATCAGTTCTATCTCGGAGACCGCCGATGGATCATCGTTTTCGAGTGAGTCGATACAAATCAGCCTGGGTGAAGAATATTGTCGATCAAGTTTAAAAGAGAGTGTCAGTTCTCTTGTGTTTCCTTCCCTGAAGAGAAGAGAAGTATTTGAGTGGGCTTACATTGCGTTTGATTAGTGAGGTGGATGGTTGAAGATGAGATTCAGTGGACACGGGTGGTGGTGGTAGATGGATGCAGTCGCGGGGGGGTGGCTTGTTGTAGGGGTGGGGGGGAAAGTTTGCAGATTAATGAAAGGGAAAAAAGAAAAGAAAACAAGGCGAAAGCATTGGCTTTCATTAGACTTAACACACGCCCTCAAGATTAAAGAACTAATCCAGTGCCGAAAGCCCTACAAGGGACAATGACTCACAACGCAGAGGCGTAATAGAAGAAAGGGGCTCAATAGATAAGAATCATGTTAGGCTTTTTTGACTACCCGATGAGCTTCCAATCTATGTAGAGACCGAACCAGGCTTCGGAGCAGGAAGATCAGCAGGAGCGGGCAGGAGAGCCTTGCAAGCCCCCTCGCCAGGAGAGGGAAGGAGTGCAAACAAGAGTGCTTTAAATGGCGGGCAGTTTTAGACGCTTGTGTAGGGGCTCATGGGACACAGTCAAGAAACTCGACTTAGACACTCGGAGAGGGCATGGACAAAATGTGTTCGTGCGATTTGGATTCAATGCAGCAGAGTGAGGAGCTCGAAGTGAACACAAATGGACAAGCAAACATTCGAGCATTGAGAGCGCCAGTTAGACCAAGAAAACATGATGAAGATAAAATATATATTTATATTTATATTTAGAAGGGAGATGTGTGTATAAGACTATTAAAACGAGTGTGAGTTCAGAAGATACGAGTAGAGGAACAGCGACTAACAAACAGGACAGGCGAAGGATGGACGATGTGTATATAATATAAGACAACATAGATGGGAGGAGTATAGGACACAAGAAGAGGCGGGACTACAACGGATCGAGGCAAGGAGAAGAGCAAGTTAAGTGAGTCAAGCTAGTCCTCAGGGAGTCGGCCGAAAACGGAGTAGATAGTCCATCTGGAGGGGTCGTGAAGACTCTATTGCTTCTTGTCCTGTATTAATCGATCAGAGAGGGGTCATTCAGGTAAGCATGAGGCTACAGGGGGCAGAGGAGATCAGAGCGAGGAAGCACGTACGGATTTCTTGGGGTCTTTGCTCTTCAACAACAACCCACCAGGACCGCCGGGCATGCCGCCCATGCCGGAGCTCATCTGCATGGATGAGGAGGACTGTTCGGTTTCGGAGGTGGAGGATGTGACTGACATGCCGCCGACCATGGGAGACATGCCGAAGGCTGAGCCGCCAGGGAATCCTCCAGGAAGACCGCCAGGGAAGCCGCCGGGGAAGCCGCCGGGGGGAAGGACACCACCACCACATCCCCCGTTGACGCAGGGGTTAGGAGCGGGTGAGGGGATGAAGCCGCCGCCACATCCACCGTCGATGCAGGGGTTAGGAGCGGGGATGGGCATGAAGCCGCCACCGCAGCCAGCACAAGGAGGAGGCATAGGACCGGGGTTGAAGCAGCCTCCGAAAGAGCCGGGTGTGCCGCAGAGACCGGGACCGCCTGGTGGGCCGAATCCACCGCCGCCGCCGTTGATGTTTGTGTTGCTGGGCTGGAAGCTGTTGATCATCGGGCCGCCGTTCATGTTGTTGTTGTTGTTGATGACGATGCCTTGTTGAGGGAATCGGCCGCCGCCCCCACCGCGACCACCGCCGCCGCCGCTCATCCTGCACTTGTTGTTTTGAAGGAGACCGATCGGAATCAGGGCGTGGCTGCCACCGCATTGCATCATGTTGCCGCCGGCACCGCCACCAGCACCGAATCCGGGAGGAGGACCGCCAGCACCGGCGCCGCCGCCAAGGCCGAGACCGTCGAGGCCCAACGAGCGGGCGGATTCGTGGCCGTCCTTAGATTGTTGTTGGTCGAGTGGGATGGCCGAGGCGCTCTGGAGGAGCGCAACTGTGATGGCGGCAGTCAAGAAGGATCGCATTCTGAAGTTCGTGTGTCTTGAAAGGAAAGTGTTGGAAAGGGATTGGTCTGTGGGGATTGGAGCTGGTTGCTGTGTGTGTGTGTGTGTGTCTGGAGTCCGAGTGATGAGTGGATGAGTGAGATGGGGAAGGGGGCGAATATCGGCCGGTTTATATACCCGTCCAAGGGCCCCTCTTCGCTCCCTTGAAGGGATGTCTCCTTGCCCGTTCATGATGCCCAAGTCATCTGATGATGTTCGGCGTGCCCAGCCAACGAAAAGAAGATCACACGCGCCGTCGGCATGTTTGCCCTCTCAACCTTCATACATTGTATATGACCAATTGTCTAGCCCGTCTATTGATTCTGTCGGAACTGGTTTGTTTTTTGAACATCGAGAGCTGAGAAAGTGTCCGTTAAAGTGACAACTGAAGGACAAAGGACATACCGAGAAATCGACAGGGTGAGGTCATTGATGTCGATAACCTGTTGTTGTTCAAACTCACAATCGAGCCTCGAGGAGGGTGTGTGAACGGCCGATTGGCATTTATCGGCTGCTGTCTGTCTTAAGGATGCCGAGAGACAGGCCGAGACAGGCCACTGTCCGGCTAGACTGTTTTCAGCTTTCAAACGGTGTCTTGAAATGTTAGCTTGAGAATTAGTCCACGGGTGTGGGTGGACCCTAATAATATGTACAAACATCCTGTCTTCACACAGTCACAAGCTAATGTTTCGATGGATTTTCAAATCATCGTCATTTTCCCTTTTTTTGTTTTTAATTCAAATCTGCACACACACACACCACGAAGAAAAATCAAACAGACACTGACAAGTGACTGACTGGTGGTCTGCAAGCTCGCCGACTCGACAATCGTCCAGCAATGGTGTGTGGCATTTCTTCCACCAGCCGTCGGTGATTCATCCTTGCTTATGACTCATGAGATTGGGTGGTTCGTCGGAAGGAAGATTTGAAGGAAAACGAGACTGAAGCACCGATTACAGCTTGGGGTTCTGGCTGATTAGGCCCTATCAGATCCGGTGACACATTCGCGGCAGCGCGACCGGTAGACCGGAACTGTTTTCGGGATGCTGTTTAGCAAAGGGTCTGGAGATCAGATCCGGACACCCAGTTGGATGATCAACACTACCCAGCCAGAGATTGTTCTGGGGTTTGGCAGGGGATTCAGGACTATTATGGCGGCTGCAACATCTTTTTTTTCCTTAATCCATCGTATTTTGACAAGTCTCCAAAAACAGGGCTTCGGCAGGTAGCCAAACCCAGACCGGGCTATCATCCTCGGGCTCAAGAAGGTGCAAGGTGGGTGGAATCTGGCTACTTCAAGGCCCCAGCTGAGAGCACTACTCCAAGAAGGAGTTCACACATGTAGCAACTTCCAAGTGAGAAAGAACATCACTTTGGAACCCCATCCTCCAAGGTTGGATTTAGGGCCCAATTGAGAAGTTGTTGTGTTTTTTTTTTTTTTTTTGACTGAATTTGAGTTGGGATCACAAGTCCTCCTTGTAAGGATTTTTGTTGGTGAGCAGCTGGTGCCAGGTTGCCAAGGAATCCCTAACAAGCAGGTAAAGGGCATATGTATGCTTCACCCTTGGTAAGTTGGTTGCCAGGTCAGAACCCTGCTTGGTGAACAGATGCTGCTTGCTTCCTTCCTGGAGAGTTGGAAAGTCTGGTATATCTCTACTGACCGAAGAGTTTTCCTCTCTGGAGCTCCCCAGAAAAATATTGTCTCACCGGATCTCAGTTGGAACCTTAGCAATTCTAGTAAAAAACAACCATTACTTCTTTTTTTCTCTTTGTTCTCAACTACCACCATTAAACAATACCTTCTTGTGTGCTACTTTGAACGACACATCCTTTTTACACTGCATTCACAAAATGCCCCAGAAAAAAAATAGTAAGAATTGCTCATTCCATCCTAGCTTTTATTTGTGAGTCATTTGATTGAAAATAGTGTATGCAGTCAACTCTGCTCTAACCCATACCTGTATTAACCCTTACTCTCCTGTAACCTGTGGCAAAAAATATGTCCACCAAGTTGTTGGGCAGCCAAAAAAAGGTTACCAAAGCCATAGCTGTCTAATACCCAGTGACCCATACTGTATGGAAAGAAAAAATCCAAAAAAAAAAAAAATCATGGGTTTTTCTTTCAGATTTTTTATGCTTCTGAGGACTAATCCTTCCAATCCATCTATCATGGAAGAGCCTCCCACCCCAAAAAAGCTTCTCTGACAGGGTAATATACTGTCTTTTGACCAATCCAACTCAGATAAACCTGAGGATCTTACCTATTGTGGCTCAATTGATGAAATCCACATTGATTTACTTTCAAAAAATAAAAACAAAATTACACTTTGAAGAAAAAAAGTCAAAAAGACAAAGAAGGAAGGGGTATGGGTTAACACACAGCTGACTGTAATCCCCCCTCACCCAAGATAGTGGTTATCTTTGGTGAAACACACCTTTCTATCTTGTCTTCCAATACTCCAATTGGTAACAGGAATCTATTACCCATTCTTGTTAACCTCCCTCCAATTCCCAATCCAGCTGCTTTTTGATAGCTTGGATTGCCCTGGCTATACAGTCACAGGAAGCTTGAGTAAGTCTCAAGTGCTATGTCCTGAGCTTTGATAAAATACTGAATTCCAAATTGTGAGATATCCGTCCATGACTAGAACACTGAGTTTTCCTTGAGTCAACGGTGCCACAGATACGAGACATGTATTTGTATCGGATCGTATCGTATTTATTTTGAGCCTGATACCGGTATCAGTATTTCCTTGGTTGGTGAAAAAATACATTGTATCGGATTTGGATTTAAAAATGAAAAAAAAAAAATTCGTCTTTGTTTTTTTTGTTTTTTCTTCAATACAGCCAAATATCTTATGTATCAAATACGGTTTTGGTGGGATCAGTCATCTGAGACGATACAGAATACATTTCTCACTTTTCAAATACGATACATGTATATGTCTCAGGAAAGTGAGACAACACAAATCCGGTATTTTTGGGTATTCCAATTCTGAGACGATACAGATAAACGCCTGATACCGTATCGTATCGTCTCTGTGGCACCGTTGCTTGAGTAGTATAAGTCCTGACACTCACCACTGAAAATCCATTTCCTCCAAGCATTGATTCCCCTCATTGATCAACCGCATTTGAGGAAATTCACCATTGAAAATCTCACTTAACTTAGGATGGCTAGAGAGAAGGATATTTTTACCCTCTCTAATACAGGCACAATGTATTCATATCTGTCTGTGGCCTCTTTCATGTTCCATTTTCTTTCCAGACAACCACATGAATGTCAACTGGGGGAAGACGTCCCCATCCCTGTGCTCAATTGTCTAGGAAGAAAGGTTTCACATAGTTGCACTGCACATTTGACTGACTTGAATCTTACTTGATTAATTCTTGGAATTCTAAACAAAAAAAAGTAAAACAGTTAAGTCTGCAGATGCAGCATCTGATGCTGTTTTTTTGTGGTTGAGGCAACTGAATAATCATTTTGATGTGCATCCACATCAGTTATTTGTTTGGTAGTTCTGGCATTAATCAAGTAAGATCCAAGTCAGTCAGATATGCAGTGTTACTATGTGAAAATGTTACAGAAAATTGGGCTCAGTGATGAGATGTTCTCCCCCCCCCCAGTTGACATTCATGTGGTTGTCTGGAAAGAAAATGGAACATGAAAGAGGCCACAGTTAGATATGAATACATGATCCCTGAATAGGTTAAGTGAGATTTTCAATAGTGAATTTACTCAAATATGGTTTGATGGATGTGGGGAAGAAATTATGGGAGGAAAGGGATATTCAGTGGTGAGGGGAAGGTGCCAAACAGGCACCTGATCATCATTCCTCTAAGAATGATGGTGGGTGGCAAAGCCCTCAGGTGACCATATGAATCAGGGAGGTATGATGGACAATCTGTGTTTCAGATGGGAACAAAATTCAAAAGGATTAGATGGGCCAGGTGACATGTATCTTTCAGGGTCCCACACAGCCACAAATGCATTGCACTTGGAAATTTAATGTTTGCTCCTGATCAGGGAAACATGGTCAAAAGGGGTTAGATCTTCCAGTTGATATGTATGTATCTTCTGAGTTCCCACACAGCCACAACTATATCACACTTGCAAAGTGGCAGCTAGCTAGCATTACAGAGTCAATCTGACATGCAATATTTCCATAAATAACTAAAACCAATAATTAGTAGCTTACATAATCAAATAATATTACAAACATGAATGACACAAAATGTCCTTTACAGAAATCAGTGACATGTCAAGACCTCATGACAGGAGACTGTGACATGAGTTCAGCAGATTTACCCTGTCAAAGCTCCCGGGAGATTTTACCTCATTCCAGGTTCTCAGGGATGACCGTTGAGCCCAATTTTCCTTTCCAGTGTCGGTGGTTGTATGTACTTACCATATAAAATGAGCCAATAAAAATGTAGTTAAGAATCAACATCTTTCTCAGTTTACATGATCTTTTCCCAGAGGGCCTTGGTTAATTGACTCCCAAATTTGGCAGTTGTCAGGAGGACCGCTTGGGGACAGTCCCAGTATAACCAAACTTGGTGGGGCTCTATTGCAGAGTAGCTACATGGTGGAGAGAAGAACTCTTGTAAGTACAAGCAATTTTTAACTCAGCAGGGGAAAAGGGAAGAGGAAGAGAATCAAAAGAAGATCCTCCCCTAGACGGTGGACTCGTGGAGAGAAGATCTCTGCCATCTAGGTACACATGTAGGGACAGACAACAAACTAAATATGAGTCAAAGTCTGTTACATGTTTGTGTGTGACATGTCCTTGTGAAACCCAAGGGAGGAGGGGGTTTTACAAGCACATGTGAAATCTTGATGATGAAACTGTAACATTTTTACCCCATCAAAAAAGGGTGTTTTCTTGAATATACAATTGGATGTATGATTAAAGAGGGAGGTAGATGATTAATCTTGAGGATTACATTTCAAGTGGGAACACAGTCAAAAGATTTCAATGGCTTACAGGGTACTAACAATAACTGTGTAGATTGATCAATTTGCCACCAAGTTGGAACTACTACTATGTACACTGTCATTGCACAAATGTGTTGAAGCTTGTTTCAGGAGAAGTCTGGATTTGGTTTTAAGCATTGCCTCAAGCTAAACTTGTCCCTGCTTTCTTGATGAATGACCACTATCAACTGGGTGAATTTGTTGGACCCAACTGGGTGAATTATGAATAGTAAAACACATTGTGATCAGTGTCATCTTTCATTGATTTGAACCTTGCTTCAGGTCAAGTCTACCTTAGGTTTTGGGGTCTGAGTTTGCAGTGGCCTCAAGCTGAATTGATCTCCATTAGTTTGGCCTAGCCGTGGCCCGTGGTGAACTATAGAATGAGCGTAAGGGGTGCTTTTCAAGGTTTCAATTTGGCTCCAGGGAGATACTATTTATTCTAGGAGTACACCAAATAAACAACAGTAGCAAAAATTTGGCAAATATATGATCTTATCTTCTATGATATCAAGCTACAATATTTACAACTTCTTCTTCACTAAAAACACGCAAAAAAACTTTCGTCTGCACCACACCAGGACTGAATCGACACTTGTCAGTAATCAAGGTCCCCCTCGCTTCCAAGAAAGCGGATAGATGACGATTAGTGTAAACCGCCACCCAACACGATCTCCTGACCAGTCATATAGCCAGTTTTAGCCAACATGACCACCACATTGGCCACTTCACTTGGATGCCCCAGTCGTCCTAGTGGTATGGTTGAAGCTAGCACTGTTCCGATATCCAATTGAGTGTGCGGTTGATCGTTTCTGTCCCATCAACAATCGTCATCAAGTAGTATCATCATGAGCAACTTGTGGAGTAAAATGATCATCATATCATTAAGAAAAATTTCGTTGTTTCCTTACGAGCTCAGGTCTTGTGAGGGCGGTTGAACAGCCGGTACCATCCCAGTATCTCCGATCAGCGCAGGAGAGATCTATAACCACCCGTGATCATCAAGTCATCTGGACAATAGGCAACTGTACTAGAGGATGCGAGTCTAGGAAGAGAATTACTGACGCAGTTGACAGTGATGTTATCGGGCGCCAGGACCCGAGCAAGATTCATGCCCATCGAGCTGTGTGGACGTGTCAGAGCTTATCCTATCGGAAATCATCATGATGAAAGGTTCACCAACCACAAAGCGCCTTTACTCGCAGCGTAATGACACCCTGTTAACACCATGCAGTTAGTGCTCGAGTTCGAAATTTCAATAAGACACTTTGTAAGAAATGAATAAAGTGAGAAAAAGCCTAATAACTTGCCATTGATTCCTCCACCTCTACTCGAAATACTACCGATCAGAATGATTCTTCCCCATCGAGCCTTGCGCATCTTGCCACCCAGATCGTCCAGAGAATTTTTCAATAAAACAAAAGGACTAGTACAATTGACTTGAATGACATCATCCCAATCCTGCAAGCTGATTTCCTCTATATCTCGGATTCGCCGAGCCAGACCAGCATTTAAAACGAGGATGGCTATCGAGTCATGGCGCTGCGTGTGGGCTGCAAGAACTGAAGTAATCAAGCCCTGGGTTTCTTCTCTGTTACTCATATCTGCTCGGTGGGCCGTGAACGTCTGACTCGCAAATTCTCCTCGTAGTTCCGAAACTAGCTTGCTAGTAAATTCCTTTTCGAAACCAGGAGATTTTTGAGGATGTGTGAAGGACAACCAATATTGAGTCCACAAACAAATATCGAATTTTACTGCTCTTGCATTTTTTCTTCTTCTTTGGTGCAAAAAAACACGGGTCGCAAACTGGCCTATGTACTGACTGAGTTCAAATTGTAATGCAAAGCCAGATCGCATCCTTGTTGAGCCAATGCTCTCGCACAAGCAGCTCCAATTCCACCACTTGATTATTGAGAAAGTAGGATCAAAAATGAAGATCATATTTCCACAGATATGCACTAGAGAAGAAGTCTACCGACTAACCTTGCCCCTGTTACCAACGCCAGCCGGCCCGAAATATTGTTATCCAGTGAGCGTACCGAAAACGCAGACGCCCCACTGTCGAGTTCGACCATTGATGAGGCTTGGTGAATGGTGATCAGGTTGTTAGATCTGGAGAGTGTTGTGAGCATGTATGTCACACAGCATGTCACATGCGCCGGCTCGTCGATCAGTCTGATATCGGTTGTTCAACATCAGACTGGGTATGTACAGTTGCGGACGGCAAAAACCGACCCTGGATTTTGAGGATGTCCGAATGGTCGAGCCGAAAATTCAGATTTTTTTTTGAAATTTTCAGCCTTTTGAGCTGTTTGTAGCCTCCAGATTGTAGAAAAAATACACTAGAATAGAAGATTAACAGTGAAAGTAGATGTCAAGGGTGTACAAGTAGTATAAAGCCATGATTATTTATAACTTAAAGCCATAACTATGGGTTTAAGTATTGCTTAATCTGTGATTGTCCGATTATCTGTATGTGGAAATGAAAAAAAAATTGAACCGCTCACTCAAAAGCTTAGTGTTTACAATTTTGAACTCTACACATCTGTAGGAGTTCAAAATTGTAATAAAATTAAGTGTCGGGGCACATGCCCCCCGGGGCATAGGCCCCGCGTGTCCAAATTGGATTTTGCGGGCGGGGCATGGTCGGTCTATGCCATACGCAACTGTACAACATTTTTGAATTTTGAGATCTTGTGTGGCGTTTTTTGGTTACTGTTAGATTCGAACCAGCCTACATAGGATGGGTTCCAAGGCAGTCTTGAGCCACACCATCAATGCACCTGGCCGAACACTCAAAGTCTCAGCAACACCGGGGCTCAACAACATCCTCCACAACTTCCCAGCGGCCACAAATCTAACGACGAGTCCCCAGTTTGCGCATCCATCCTCGACCAGTCGGATCTTCCCCCACGACCTCCAATTCAACATCATCATCCGGGGGCAAGTGTTCAAGCTGAGCTATGAACAGATCATGTACGACGAGCCGAACCTGTTTACGACAGCCTTCTTGGACGGATTCTCGGAGGCCGACACCCGCACACTCACCATCCCCGGCCGATCTCCGGTGCTCTTTGGCTACATCTACGAATACCTCTCCGGCTATGCGATCCTCCCGAACCCGGATATCGATCTCAGGAACCTGGTCTCCGACTGCGAATACTACGGCCTCCAACGTTTGAAGGATCAATTGACGTTGCCCAAGGTGGGTGACGCACTCTCCTCGAGACATAGCCTCAGTCGGGTGGTCAGGTTCGAGGACGTCGTGACTCGGCAAGCTCATGCCGTCGATTGGACTGAGAATGGCTTAGTCGATACCAGCGACCCCGCAATCAAGCACATCCTCGTCTTTCTTACTAAGGCCAATTTCAGGTAAATTCAGCACATAAGCCAGTTCCTCTTTTTTTTCACTACCCTTGCAATTTAATTCAATGTCTCGGATAAGCCAGTCTGTCAGTCTGCTGATCCGTGAATGAAATCATCCTCATGTCCGTCACTCCGCGCCTCGGCTCGGATTCAGGTTGGATCTTACGGTCAAATCAAATGGCGAATGGTGAGCGGATCCTCGGTCCGGTCAAACCCAGCCGCCAATATTTTCTATAAAAAAAATCGATACTGACTGGATGATATGGTTTGATTTATCTGCATGTGGCGGTAGTGCTCAAGCCTCCTTTGGAATAGAGCTACCTCCATACGCGTAAGTTCGATAATCCAACTTCAGCATCCAATTTCCAGCTTCTAACAAGAATGATTGGAAATGTAGAACAAGCCTTCGATCGAAGCCACTGAGTTTCAGGGACGAAGGCCTTACGGATTGGACAGCAATCATGGCTGAGGCACTCTCGGCGACGCCGTTGACCCTAAACGATGGCGAATTCGAAGGGAACTTTGGCGATTTGGTCCAATGGGTCGGGTCCTTCATGATCAGGTTCTCCGCTGGAACTACTTGTACGTCTGTTTTGCAAGATACGACTTGTATCCGATCATCATCTGGGCTTCCTCCCCATACCAATCATGTTGAAGTTTGGAATTTCTTAGCAGCTTCATCACTCAGTACTGGTCCTAGTAGATCTGCCGGTGGATTGTACGTGTCTTTCGATCAACTCTTTCTTTCTTACATTCTAATCTGACAGAACCAAAAAAAGAATGACAACTGGTTATGTTTCGCTGTTCAATACATTCAACCGTTTTACTCTTCGCTCGTGTTTGACGAAAATAAAAATAGACAAGACCCGGAGACAACAGAGAAACTCTCGAAGATCATGCCAGGTTTATCAGAGAGCATGAGGGTAAGATCTCTACAAGGCCAAAACACATTGAAATTAGTCAGTCTTTTTTTTTGCTTTTCAAAAAAAAAAAAAAAAAAAAAAAAACTTGCTCTAGCTTATCAACCAAACCAACCTGCGAAAAAAAGAAAGAAAAGCTGACAAGCGGTTGGATGGATATTAATTTGATCAGTCTACCTCATTCTGGGCCAGCCATATGTCACTGATCATCGCACCCCCCGACGGATCTTCTACTACCACAGACGAAACCAATCGCAACAGTAATCTGGTTGCTAAAGTTTTGAATTGTAGTTTATCGACTGGTTTGTATCGCCGAAAATGCACGAAACCTCTGGTAAACTTCTAATCAACGCCTACATATCCATTTTTGGTTTCCATCTACCCTTTTACATATCAATTTATTATGTACCATTCTTATATATCTTCCTTCACATGAACAAATCTTGTGGGCTCTTGGTTTTCTGGGATGGTATTACTCGACCACTTTTTAATGTATTATACACGGGGGTATGTGCTTGTAATAATGATAGCTCAAGTGGGATTGTATGGAATTGAAGGTCATCGGGTTGATCTAAGTTCGAATATAGACGATCTCAGCCATTGAAACTGATTAATAAGCCTTCTTCATTTCATCAGTTGAGATATTTGTTTCTTGCGGACAAATTCCGTAATTTTGACCTTCCTTCAAGTCATTGCTAGTGGACAAAATTGGAAAATTTAATTCAATTTGCAGGTCTTGATGATCGAGGCAGACAAATATGTATACAAAAAGGGCATTTTAAAGTAGGAGAGGGGTTAGCAGATGGAAGTGTGTGTTTGATGCTCATTATTAGAAAGCATGGAATGAACCAAGTCAGTCATGTTGGTACACGAGGTCAGCAGATTCAGCAAGATGATATTTCCGTCTGGACGACTGAGGGATCAAGTAAAGAACATGGAAATCATTCAGAACTTTCGATGATTGTTTGCTTGGACAACATCCGAGAGTCGACACTCTACCGAGTGAGAGAACACAGGAGACAAATCTACCTCAGCACCGCAATGCGACCCAAAAAGATCTGAATGGTGATGGTGCTGAGATAGAACGGCCCCCCTGTGTGCTCCCATCCGGCAGAGTCTGAACCCCCGGATGCAGTTCAAGCAAACAACAACCGAGGGTTCTGAATGATTCCCATGTCCTTTACATCATCACTTACTCGTCCAGAGAGAGAGAGCCCAAAGGAGGGAGACTCACCAGCCAGACTTACCTGTCGGGAATCGCAAGATTGTTTCGGCTCACAGGTTGGCGCTAAAGGAATCTGAACTGCAGATGTAGGACATATGTCCATTCGTAGGGCGGGAGGGAAGTGAATGCTGTTGCTCAGCTCGCGACAGGGCTGTCTGGACCTGGAGGGGAGTGAGTGAGTAGGTATCTCAAGCGCAGAAGAGGGGGTAGTTATAGTGGGCTTCTTGTAAGGATGTGCCAACGAGGGAATGAGTCGGGTCTATTTATAGACCGCCGTGCAGCAGTGCTGAGCCGGGTAAGAAGGCTCAGTATCACACTGCTCGTCACAGTACAAGCAGCAGCCTCACTGAGCTCAGCTGGGGTACACTTTCTGGGAGGGAGTTGCAGCCTGGGCTCAGCCATGGATATTATGTCGTATCCAAACCAAATTGCCAATATTTTGACTGTCGTATTACTATGTAGTCCGAGGGCACAAATATGCCTTATCCAACTATCAATCAAGACTTGCCCATGATGAGTCTTCCTGACCTTGCGTCAAGCTTGATCCATCCAGCAGACCGGCTAGTTCTGCTGCTAGCCGGGTCTCACAGTGTCTTTTGACCCGGTTTTGTGTCGACCATGGCTGTAGCATACTAGCATCTGATTCATTCAAGTGCTGAGCTGCTCCAACTTGTAAACAAAGCACCCTGGTGCAGCTGTCCGCCATCCCACACATGGGCCAATCAAATTGTCCATGATGGACCATTGGCAAAGAACTTCGAAATGGGCCAGCATCAGGTGAGGTCAAACTTGACATGCTTCATACCACTCCCAATGATTTGGCAAAATTGACTCTGCTTGTTAATGTCACCAGTTTGAGAACATCTTTCTGAGGAGGCCGGGGGATGAACGTTTTGTCCGATTCTTTGATCCAACGGGCCTTTTGATTCCGGCCGGAGACGGTTCCACATACTTGTCTCCCCTTCCGGACTGGCCTTTCTTCTCACAACACTCTTAAAAGTTATCGACCGGGCACCTACGATTAGCTCCTCCAAACCTATGACACTCAGCGGAGGGAGTAGTGCCAACCCAGCGGCGAGAATGGTCGGCTCGGCGTCTCCCTTTGGTGGCGGGGTGATTGGCAATGTCGGCCAGATTTTTGTTGGTCTGGTCTATCAAGCCGTGGATTTCAACCATCAACCGATCATCCTCCAGACCGTCTCGGGTGCCGACGGCCAGCCCACCATTGCACTCAGCTTGAATGGCTAGATCGGCTCGGCTGCTTTGGCCACCGGCCTCGCCGGACCACCAGTCGGTACTCCTGCATACAATCCTTATCAACTCCTTTTACCAATTTGCCGGGTCTTTATCTGTCTATCTGAGTGTCTCTCTGTGATCAGGTCATCAGACTCATATTTTCATTGCCTCCCCCCCCTCGGCCACACACAACCGCCTCCCTTGCGATATTGCCCATCCATCCTATGAGTTTTGGAAACTGGAAGGACACAGTATTTTTTTTTTTCTTTGGTTATCATGCTTTGGCAAGATGTCCCAGATCAGATGGCTCTTTTTGAATAAGTTCTTCCCCCTAGTCTGTAAGTTGTACGTCGGGCTGAAGTCGGTGTAATCCAGCAGGATGTTGGGATCCTGGTGCTGACAGAATATGAGAGAGAGAGAAGAACCAGAAAAAATGGAAATGAAAATCAAACAATGAAGAATCCATACATTCTGGGTGAGTCCCTTAATTTTTTACTCATACAGTTTTGGTGCCAACCTTTTGCAGATCAGTGAATTTGGCCAGGCTTCAAATCTGTGAGATGCCTTGGGGCTTATGTAAGCTATTTTAAGTTCAATCGGGAGTTTCGGGGGGGGGTATAAGGGTATCCCCGGTCATCAGAGTCAACCAACAAACGCGTCCAAAGTTATTGGCAAGGCAATCGCTTGGATTGACGATATCTTAAACGATGGATGCGAGGACGAGGATGAATAACCAGTTCAACGAAATCAACCAATTACCACAACAGGCGAAGCTGAAGGCATACTCAGACTTACTCAGGAGCTTATTTGGACAAGCGCGGACGGAGGAGAGCATCAGCTCGATCACCCAATTCGTCTCCAACATCGTCCAAGACCTGATTGGCCTCCTGATCTCCAAGACGGTGCTCTCCGAACTCGTGAGCTTGGTAGACAGCGAACTCAAGGCGAAAGATCAGAGCGACTTCAAACGCCAGTTACTCGAGTCCGTCTTGGCCCAACCTGATCTCTGTGGAAGGACAGTAAGATTCGAGGAGCAGATCTCAAGCTTGAGGGAGTCTTTGGCAACCCTACTGGAAGAACAGGAGGATTGGAGCGAGGCGGCCAAGGCTTTACAAGGCATACCACTCGATGGAACGCACCGGTGAGTACATAGGACTTTTTGTGACCCCCCCCCCCCACTACTCCAACTGATGATACGTTTTATTTCTTTAATAAATTAGGACCGTGTCTGATGGATATAGGCTGAATACATACATACGGATTGTCAGACTACTCTTGGAAGACGATAATGCGACCAACGCTGAAAGTTACTTGAACCGAGCCAGTTTATTGATTCCTGAATCTAAAGATGAAGTTAGTCATACCGTCAATCGAATTCAGGCCACTCCTACTACAATCTGATGTAATTGAATAAAGCTGTCCAAGACTCCCGGGTTTGAAATGGGGAAGAACTAATATTGTTACCATTTTTGTTTACTTGACGGGAAAACGATGTTAAGGCGACCATTCTAGCATTCAAACTCTCACAAGCCAGGATCTTAGATTCCAAGAGGAAGTTTGAAGAAGCGAGCAAGAAGTACCACGAGATCAGTTTCACGGCCAACTTAGACGAAGAAGAGCGAGAGAGCTGTTTATCGGCCGCAGTGGTCTGTGGAGTCTTGGCCCCAGCAGGACCGAATCGGACTCGGCTTTTGACGAACTTGTTCCGAGATGAAAGGAGCGTGAACCTGCTGGATTACAAGATCTTGTCGAAGATGGTCTTGGGACAGATCATCCGAGACCATGAGATGGTCGAGTTCGAGAAGCGGTTGAAAGCTCATCAATTAGCTAAATTGCCCAAGATGCTGGAAGTTTCGGATGATGAGGAAGAGGATTCAGCAACAAAGATGATGATCACAACAGAAAGAAGGCGGTTGAAGAAAGGTCCAGAGAACGTGTTCGATCGGGCGGTCATGCAACATAACTTGTTATCAGTCTCGAGGATCTACAATCGGATCAGCTTTAAAGGCTTGGGCAATCTAGTCGGGCTGACCTCGACGGCCGTCGAGATCATGGCCCGGACGATGATCCAGGAGAACCGACTGAAGGCCTCGATCGACCAGGTCGACAAGTTGATCACCTTCAAGAATCTCAGCGACGCCTCGGAGGATGATGTCGTCGTCAGTAACGTCGCCGCCGCTGCTATTAGTAACGAGAACAATTCTGCTCTTAACTCGTCCGAAAAAGATCAGTTGATCGCGATCGCTCCTTCCCTGTTCGTATGGGATGAATCCGTTTGTCTCTTTCTCTCTCTTTTTTTCCCTCATCTTGGTCTCCGTCTCCCATCCCTCTCCTGCTGATGCTTTCTTTATTTTTCTTCTATCTATCTATGTTACAGATCAAAAAAACTTTACAAAAAGTCGAAACTATTTATCAACACATCATCGATCTAAAAACCTAATCACTATTGAATTTCTTTCAAACGATCCATAAACTAAAAAAAAAAAAACAATTCATAACTAATAATCACATGATAGCTTGGTGTTTGTGATTTTGTTGAGGCTGGCACGTGCTTGAAGCCCACACGTTCGTTCCCCAACAATAAGATTTCAAAGAAAAAAAAAAAACAGGTACCAGATACATGACAAAAAAGATGTGATGATGATTGAGAAGAATTGTAATAAAAGTGATATTTATTGTGATCCTAATTATGAGTGAGAAACCCCAACATGAGACCTGAAGACGATCCAGTATGTAAGAATATCATCATTTGGCAATGTAAGTGACCCTTGTTGATATAAAGACAGCTGGTCAGTGCAAACCAAGTAAGCCTTATATCTGGTCATTTGACTTACTGTACATCTATATTCTGCCTTGATTCTTAAGCGCACAATCCTCTCCAAGTCATCATCTAACATGGGGGACTAAACTGATGTTACCACTTTTTGACAACTTGATCACCATCCCCCCCAATCAAAACAACCACTTTTGTATGAGGTAAGTCAACAAAACTCGGATGCACCTGAGATCCCAGCAACCATTAGCCACTTCCACATAAACTGTTCATTTCCCTTGCCTGCAAATGCAAGTTGACAGCATCTGTTGAGCATGGACAAAGACCCTGCCACAGGTACAAACCTCTTGGCTGCTTCCCTTGATCCAGACAACATGGACACTCATGCCAACACGCTAACTGTAGTGGTTAGCACAGCGTAACATAGCTGAATTCACTAAACTTTGTCGTAGTGTAGTGGAATTCTGCCACATCTGTGCTAACATTACAAACGTAGGCCCCAAAAAATGGCCCACTATGCTGCACTCACACGCTAGTTAGTGGAAAATTGGCCCTGAAGTGCTGTTAGTGGCCTGTAGCACAGCATAGTGTAGCAAAAATCCGCTAAAAAAAGTGCCAACATTACAGGATTTGGGTGCAAGAAAGTGCTGCTACCCTAACACTTTTTGGGAAAAAAAGTGTAGCGGCCCAGTGTTGCTCATGCATCCACAACAACAGGCCTTGGGGCCAGTCCTACAGAGAAATCCAACCCTACCCCAAACTATGCATACCCGGAACTTCCTGCCAGTGCCCAAAAGGTAAATGAATAACTGGATTTGTCTAGGTGTTCTGTGGAATCTGAGGGACTGGAGAATCCTAAGAGAAAATCTCTAACAGAGTGGGGGTCAATCGGGCTACTTTCAGCAGACTCAACCAGCATTCCATACACAAGTACTCACACACTTTAGCTGGTCAAAAAACCCCATCCAGTGCTTATTTAGAGCTCCAGCAGACCACAAACATCTCCAAATCAGCTGTGGATTCTGATCTTTTGTGGAAGGGATTTGATTGCTTGGTGTCTCTGTTAGATCTATTTATTTATGTACTTAGGACACAATCAATCAAGGGGCTTGGGTAATTGACTCCCCCTAAAATTTGGAGTTCCAACATTTTAGGGACCTCAAGAGGACCCTCTGCAGACGGTCCTCAGGAAATCCAGCCCCCTAATTGGGAGTGAAACATCCAAAACCTTGGACAGGTTTGGGAGTCAATCCCCAAATAAAATAAAACATGAACCCCATGGGGGGTTTTGGGAGTTTATCCTTCAAAAAACCCCAGGAGGGTTGGCAGTTGATCCTCCCAGGTGGATGGGAGTTGGTCCCAGAAAGCTCCCAGCAGCCAAGAGGTCCCTCTTGGATTCTGAGAGTGTACAACTCTTAGCAACCAAGAGGTATTTCTCTCAGAAATCCCTCTCAGTTGCTGAGAGTGTACAACTCTTAGCAACAAAGAGGTACTTCTCTCAGAAATCCCTCTCAGTTGCTGAGAGTGTACAACTCTTAGCAACAAAGAGGTATTTCTCTCAGAAATCCCTCTCAGTTGCTGAGAGTCTACAACTCTTAGCAACCAAGAGGTATTTCTCTCAGAAATCCCTCTCAGTTGCTGAGTGTACAACTCTTAGCAACAAAGAGGTATTTCTCTCAGAAATCCCTCTCAGTTGCTGAGTGTACAACTCTTAGCAACAAAGAGGTATTTCTCTCAGAAATCCCTCTCAGTTGCTGAGTGTACAACTCTTAGCAACAAAGAGGTATTTCTCTCAGAAATCCCTCTCAGTTGCTGAGTGTACAACTCTTAGCAACAAAGAGGTATTTCTCTCAGAAATCCCTCTCAGTTGCTGAGTGTACAACTCTTAGCAACAAAGAGGTATTTCTCTCAGAAATCCCTCTCAGTTGCTGAGTGTACAACTCTTAGCAACAAAGAGGTATTTCTCTCAGAAATCCCTCTCAGTTGCTGAGAGTGTACAACTCTTAGCAACAAAGAGGTATTTCTACCAGAAATCCCTCTCAGTTGCTGAGTGTACAACTCTTAGCAACATAGAGGTATTTCTACCAGAAATCCCTCTCAGTTGCTGAGTGTACAACTCTTAGCAACAAAGAGGTATTTCTCCCAGAAATCCCTCTCAGTTGCTGAGAGTGTGCAACTCTTAGCAACAAAGAGGTATTTCTCCCAGAAATCCCTCTCAGTTGCTGAGAGTGTGCAACTCTTAGCAACAAAGAGGTATTTCTCCCAGAAATCCCTCTCAGTTGCTGAGAGTGTGCAACTCTTAGCAACAAAGAGGTATTTCTCCCAGAAATCCCTCTCAGTTGCTGAGAGTGTACAACTCTTAGCAACAAAGAGGTATTTCTCCCAGAAATCCCTCTCAGTTGCTGAGAGTGTACAACTCTTAGCAACAAAGAGGTATTTCTCCCAGAAATCCCTCTCAGTTGCTGAGAGTGTACAACTCTTAGCAACAAAGAGGTATTTCTCCCAGAAATCCCTCTCAGTTGCTGAGAGTGTACAACTCTTAGCAACAAAGAGGTATTTCTCTCAGAAATCCCTCTCAGTTGCTAAGAGTGTACAACTCCCAGTGACCAAGAGGGATTCCTCCTGGCTGTTGAGAGTGTACAGCTCTCAGCAACCAATAGGAATTCATCTTAGTTGTTGAGAGTTGTACACTATCAGTGACTGAGAGGAATCCTTCTTGGATGTTGAGAGCATACACGGCCGGGTGAGGATTCCTCCCAGCTGCTGAGAGTAGCACACTCTCAGAAATTGGGAGGGATTCCTCTTGGTCACTGAGAGTGTATGCTCTCAATTATTGGGAGGAATCCTCTTGGCTGTGTATGCTTTCATTTCAATGGCCAAGAGGGATTCCTCTTGGCCACTGAGAGTTGTGCTATTCTTGCTGCCAGCCAAGAGGCATCCTCCCAGCTGTCAAGAGCATATACACTCTCAGCCACAGGGAGGAATCCCACTTGTTTTCTGAGAGCTCCCCAGGCCTGACTCCCAACCTCCCTGGGGGGCTTTTAGAGGATTGACTCCCAAAAACCCCCTGTGTTTTATTTCTTTATTTGGGGATTGACTCCCAAACCTGTGGAATGTTTTGGAGGTCCCACTGCAAATTCAGGGGGTTATGTAGATGTCCTCTGGACCATCCACAGAAAGTTGGTCATCATGACATCCCTGAAAAAATGTGGGTGTTGGAGAACTCCAATTTTAGGCAAGTTCAATGATTACCCAAGTCCCCTCATGAACCAATCCCTCCACCGATTCTCTGAAATCAGTCATATAATCGATATTTCCATCTAAAACAAACAAACAAACTTCTTCCTTGCTTACACTAGATCATCTAAAACAAAGGGGTGTAATCAATTTTCTTGGACTTTGTTGAGAGACATGATCACAATAGACCCTTGGTTAATTGACTCCCCCCCCCCCCCTCCAAAAAAACCTGGAGAGTTGACTCTGTAAACCCTAAATTAGCCAACTCCCTTCCCTTCCTGGTTGGAGTGGTAAGCCACTTGTTGCATTGCACCGACCAGAGGGAGGGGCTTAGGAGCAAGGTCCATCCTGAAGCCTAAGAGCATTAAGGATTTTGGTGGGTGTTTTCTTAGAATCAATCTCACACAAATTTGGTTGATTTGTTTTCCCCTCTACTACTAATTTTGAGTTGGGGGTTCTTTCAAGCTGTGCCCATCTATGTACTAATTTCATTAATGGGAAACACATCTCCTTGATTAATGATGATGATTGTAAGCTTTCCAATTTCAGATACTGTACAGTGCAGGATGTGTGATGAAGGATGAGACAGGAGGAATTGTAATCACCAATAATGAAAGTGGAAAGCCACCCAAGGGCCCAGATATCAATATATATATATATATATATATATATATATATATATATATATATATATCAAATGATTCTCCATGATCTTGTGCATCTTTTGCCTCCCCAAAACCTGATCATCAGCCAAAAAATCATGCTGCTACACACAATTGAACAATTTGGATTTCCTAATTCTCTTAGGCCATGGGCTTGAGACTTAGTGCATAAGTCTTTGGAGGGTCCCTGTGGGACAACATCCCCCCCTCCAATAGGGGAACTTGGTTAAGTTGGGGAAACCCTGTGAACGTCCTGCAGACCTTCTCAGGATGGCCCCCCCCTCCCCCTCAAGTCCCCACCATTTGGGAGTTTGTCCCTCACATTTTCACAGTGGGGATGGGGCTCAAAAACCCCCAGGGGCCGGAGGGTTTGACCGTCAAATGGCCCAAATGTTCCGGGGGGGATGGCAGATGGCTCCTACAGTATACAATCCTTGAGGGGGTGTCTTGCTGGCCGGGAGCCTGTCCTCCCCGGCTGCTGAGAGTACACCAACTCACTCCGAATTGGAGGTGCAGAGGTGAAGCAAAAGCAGGAAACCAAGCACACATATATTTATATGTCCACAGATATGTAGCCTGTGGGTCTGGAGCTTGTATCAAGACCCACGTTGTTCACACTCACCAAGATTTGACACAAAGTGATAGTATACAAAGAATGAATCAATGCACAAGAGTAGAGATGTCAGCGGGTACCCGTTTGCAGGTACCTGGTACCCGTTTGCGGGTACCTGTTTTCCAAAGCAGGTACCCGGAAACGGGTACTGGGTGCGGGTGCGGGTGTCAACATTTGCGGTAAAAACAGGCAGGTACCCGGGTACCTGCCTTACACCCGCCCTGGGAATGCTTCCCCTGAAGAATTTAATTTATCATTGGTGGTCCAACACTCCTTTTTTTGGGTGTGTTGGGCTGCACAAAGGTGTCAGCAACCCATGTAGGACACCAGCTGGTGTCCTACATGTGTTGCTGAACTAATCTGGCTGCTTTGTTGAGGCCGGAGGGTTCCCTCCGGCCTTTGAGATGGTGTACAGTCTTGATGACTGGAGTAATTCCTCCAGTCATAAACATGGTGTACAGTCTTCATCAATGGAGATTAAATAAGGAAAATGAGGCCAAGCAAAAGGGTAAAGCTCAAGATAGATCAGAGAGAAGATAAAATTCAAATTGGTGATAGAATAATTTGTTTTTCTTTATTTCTTTATTTTTATTGTATTCTTACTCATATATCTAGTGAATATCAATCTTATATTTACCAAGTCATGCAGAAATTCAAGGGTGAGATTTCTGGGTATATTTGCCTGCAAAAATGTGCCAGGTACCTGCAGGTACCCGGCGCAGGTACCCGGGTACCCGCCCTGGTGGCCCTAGCAGGTGCGGGTGCGGGTGCAGGTGTCAAAAATATTGGATTTTTGAGGCAGGTACCCGCACCCGCTACAGGTACCCGGGTATCGAGCAACATCTCTACACAAGAGTGAGTGTTTGTATGTTCTCACTAATATTTGTCCCCGACTTTGGAGAGGACGACATGGCGGTAGTGTTTTTGCCCCTTTTGGGGGTGTTGCTTGAATCAAGGTGTCAACAACTGTGAATGGATTGGAGGTCAACACACCAGTGTTAGATTGCATGCGACTTTGTTGGGCTCTCTGAGCGTATTCTTTTAGTTATATGTAGATGGTTTGACAATGGACACCCTTGTATTATTACCAACACTAACACTAACAACAACAACAACATGAATAACATGAACGACAAGGAAGAAAGAAAGAAAGAAAGAAAGAAAGAAAGAGCTGGGGATGGAGATGGGAAAGAAAAGAGAGTCGTGTCCGGGTCCGTCCTCAGTCACCTCCACCCCTCCACTCCAACTAAAACAAACCAACCAGCCACATATTCGTTCTTTCTTTGTTCTGGATATTAAATAATGACTGTAAGGCATGGATAATAATAATAATAATAATAATGAGGAACATACATCAACCACAACAAGATAAGAAAGAAGAAAAATGGATAAGTGTATATATATATATGATGAATCTTAAATAAAGAGACGATTAGATGATTATATATGAAGAAAAGGGTGTGGATGTGTGTGTGTGTGTAGAGAGAAGAGACACAGGGAGGCTATGTATATATATCTTTTTTGGGTTCTTCGGGGTCCAATGAGAAAGCGTAAAGAGAGAGAGAGAGCGAGAGTGAAGAAGAGAAAAGAAGTGAGAGAGAGAGTGTGTGTGTAAGAGCAAGGGAGAAAGAAGAAAAAACGAGAGAGGTCAAGGGACGATATCGACGACGAGGGGAGGATCTTCGTTGACGGTATGAGAGCGATGAACGAGGACGAGCTGGGGTTCGGGATCGTCGTCGGAACGGGGAGTGCTGAGGTGGGAGGAGGGGGGCGGGAGGGCGGAGCCGACGCGTTCGGCGGAGGAGGCGGCGGTCGTGGCCAGGCTCTCGACCTGCTTGTCGTCCGGCTCGTCGGCCCGGACCAGCGGCAGTTGCTCGCATCGGGTGTGGTCGGTGTCTGCGACACTGGCCGCCGTCTGTCGCTCCCCTACATCCTCTTCTATCGGCTCTTCCAATTGATCAAACCACTTTTTTTTTCATCACACACAAGGTGGTTCAAATGAATCATCAGTAAAAGAGAGAGCGCGTGTGAGAGGGAAGAAGACTGACGGGATGTTCGAGGGCTTCCTCGGCCGTCCATCGTTTGGAAGGCTCGGTTTGCAGACAGCCGAGGATGAAGTTCTGGGCTTGCGGGGAGATCGCGAAGCGTTTAGGGAACTTGATTTCGGCGTCGGAGTCGTCGAGGAAGGCCTGACCGGAGAGATGAGCGAAGGGGAATCTGCCGGAGAGGAGGATGAAAGCGATGACGCCGGTGGCCCAGATATCGACGGGTTTCCCGTAGGGCAGTCGGCGATAGACCTCCGGGGCCGTGTACCCGGGCGAGCCGCAGATCCCCGTCAGACTCGCCGTGCTCCCGTCCGGCCGATCCACATAGACCGCTACCCCAAAATCCGCGACCACTAAATCGTACGGCGGCACGTACGGCGCGCTCCCGCGTACAAATAGGTTCTCTGGCTTCAGGTCCCGATGGACGATCCCTTGGGAATGGATAAACGAAAGCGCATCCAATACTTGGTGGATCATCTCGCAGGCTTCTCGGTCGTTGAAGTTCCCCCGGGTGATGGTATGGTCGAACAGTTCGCCTCCGGTTGCCAACTAGATCAGATTCGTAGATCGATTGCAAATAAATGATCTGATTTTGATTTGGGAAAATGAAGCAATGTTTTTTTTTTTTTTTTTTTGAGACTGACTTCTAAGACCATATAGAAGTGTTCCTTGGACTGGAACCAATCGTACATCTGGACGATATGCGGGTGATGGAGCTTGAGTGTCCGGTTCATGAGCGAGATGTGTTGTTGGAGGTTAGGGACGCTGGACTTTGCGACGACCTGGTGAGCGAGGGTGGAGTTGGATCAGTAAGATTTGATGAGATGTGCTATGTTATGTTATGTAGAGTGGAGTACCTTGATGGCCACCTCTTGGGGTGGGTTCTTGGTCAGCCAAGTGCATTGGGTTACTTCGCCATAAGTTCCACTACCTATACAAGAATGAGAACGTGTTTGTTAGTTTCGTTTGATTGATTTTGCAGTTGGGTTGGGTTGGAGTAGTGAGAGTTTATGTACCTAGATGGGCGCCCCACTTGAACTCCGATTTCCGGGCGTGTAGGTTAGGGTCGCGTAGTCCGAGAGCCCTGAGGACTCTTCTCTTGGGATGGAGGCTGGCGAGGGCGGAGTCGGGCATCTTTCTTTGGGATTGAGTCTCTTTTTGTTGTTTTTTTTCGAAGTGTACTGGTGGTGCTCTTGTTTTCTTGGGAGGGGTTTTTGTTGTGGTGGTGAAGTTCCTGTGTGTAAGTAGTAGTACCCCTGCCCCCCTTTTAAGATGATTCCCTGTGATGTGATGTGATGTGTGTGTGTGTGTGCTGTGGGTGGGTCGAGTGGTTCTTCAGTTCTGGATGGCTGGCCGATGGATGAGAGTGTACAACAGTTGAGAATGAAAGAGTTCCTTATTCCGACCATCCAAAAAAAAAAAAAGGAAAAAGAAAAAAAACATTACATTACATTACATAATCAGACTGCTTTCTTCCAGCTTCCCTTGGCTTCGGAAGAAGGTTCGGAAGGAAGACGTTCTTCCTCCACCGCAGTTCCCATTGCCATCCGGCCAGCTCGTCAGTCTCTCATCGCCGAGAACTCTGGCTGGGAATTACAGCCTACATACATAGTCGGAACAGTCTGAGCCAGATCGAAGCTCAATGCCGATCAGCAACGTCATCCCTCAGCATTCATCCCCATCCCTGTACATACATACATATTTATGAACACCCTTCCGCTCTTCCGCTCTGTACTCCTGTATCCAGTCCGCACTCCGGCCTGGCCTTGATCCTCCCCCACCGGCCATCCCGGGCTTACAATCAAGCTTACATAATCAATCCAAACTCCGTCCGGACTCCGGAGACCCCCATGCATAGACTCAAATCTTCAAACATCAGTCGAGTATTTACAATATCTTCATCTAGTCCTGCTACATAGAAAGAGTTGATGTGTGTATCGACTCGACTCGACCGAGCTGGATCTTCCGGAGAGTGCGTCTGGATGGTCACATCGACTGTCGTCCGTCGAGTCAAAACAAAGAAAAAAGCCGAGAAAAAGCAATCCCAAGATCAAGAAGCAAGCAAGCAACCAACCAACCGAGCGGATTTCTTCTGGGTGAGCCCCAGACACCATCGACCAAGACGTGTGTCTGATATCATACAGATGGGCTACATTTCTCTTGGATCCGGATTTGATTAGGGAGTGGACACAGGAAATGGCTGGGATGTTTCAAGCAATCAGGATGGATACTGCTGATATTGATAAATACAGTGATTGGAGAGATCAGCGCGCTCGGGAGAGGGCCGATTGGATGACGAACAGCTTCGTTGGATCAGCAGCAACCGTTACATAACAAGCCGATCTGAACATCACAGGTTGACTTTCAGCCGAAAAATTTCTTGGTGGGGCCGGTCCGATGTCGGCCTGAACAGATCAGCAAGACGACGACCATAGGGTCCTGTTCCGGCCGACTACATACAGTCTACATCCATCCACCCGTTTCCCGGCCGGCTGAAGATTTGCGGCTCTTGTCTGTATATGTAATCACCCGGCCGGGCCCATGTATCACTCTAGGGGGTATAGCTTGTCCCGAGCCGTGCTCACTCACTTCTTCCTTGTAATCCTCATGTCACTCCGGCTCATTGTATTTAGTGAACCCCTTCTCCATGAACTTTCTGGCGAGTTCCGGACCGGCACATACACCAGCTCTATATACATGTTTATCTGCTCGAAAAAAATAATAATTGCTTGGTCATTGGGACAGAGGAGATGAGTGGGACATGGTCCCGATGGTGTTCTAGTGAGGGGGCTGCTTCTCTGGAGACGCTTTCGCAGGCGTAGCAGGCCCCTTCAAGTTCAACCCATCTTTCATGTTTCCCATATTTACAGAAAACCGTGCTGGGATGACTCGGTTTGAGGCTGTGTCACTCTACTCTCATCAGATCTTTATAATGGTCTTTTCCTAGATCGACTCCGTGTGCGTAGATCAGTACACGCTCCTAATTAAGGCTCCCCTTTCCATGCAGAGTCTTTTACATGGTGATACATAAGTTCGTTCCAATTTCGTCTCGGGACCACAGGGGATGTTGGAGACAGAAACTGATGAGGGAGTCGTATTGCTTCATGGGTAACCACGATCATCCGGGAGGAAGGAGAGGAAAGAGGAAAATGAGTTGATTGCCTGTCGACCGACTCGAGAGTTTCCCGAGCTCTCTATACATTTTGATCAGGTTGGCATCGAGAGGGGGGGAGTGAATGAAATGCGCGAGATTGAATGTCCTTGATCAACAGCGAACTCGATCGCTCTCTCTCTAACAACCACTGGAACCTCCACCTCCAAAAAAAAAAAAAAAAAAACAACAACACCTTGTTGCGCAATCAATCCAACAACATTAAACTCCTGCGCCCGAAATACAATAAGCAATCTCGTTGGACTAATTTGCGCGTCGTTAACTTGCCCGCCATTTGGTTGTGTCGGACACTTGCTTGCTTGCACTTTGGAAGCGATATGAATCCGGACCAGTCTCCAGCTGCCGACGTAGAGAACCAATAATCGACATCCATACTCCATCCAATAATTGTGCCTTCTCGTTTCGTTCATTTTTTTTTACCCAGAATTCTAGTACAGTTGAAGTACATCATCGATAATCAACAACAACAATAATAATAATAATAATCGGAATTGGTTTTGCCTACAGCTTGACTGACTCAGAGGTGGGAGTGCTTGCGGGACGAACTGGGCGATCCACTCTGTCTCTTTTTTTTCCCAAGTGAGTACATAGCTCGGTTGAGGGCATTTCAAGGTGACGAGCCACCGTTGTTCTGGGCAGTACTTGGGCCAGCTGTTTCGGCTCCCGCAAGAGCCAGTCCGTTGACCCGCTCTGTTTCCTTTCTTTCTTTCTTGCTTGCTTCTTTTACGACCTGCTCGGTGGTGTTGTCGAACTGGCTTCTCAATCATCATCCTCCCTTGTCGTTCCGTCCGGCGTGTGGATAGCAACTAACCGTCCCGGTCAAGCTTGCTCTCTCAAGTCTCTCTTGAAGAAAATACTTGGTCGGCCGAGGTATTCATTTTTTTTTTTTTTTGCAATGCCTTTGTGTATCATACATCACTCACACTCTCTCTCTCCCTAACCCTTCCTCACCCCCTCCAATATTGACCTCCCTATTGGTTACACATTCACTTACCATTTCTTTTCAACTCTACATTTTTATTTTTATTTTCGTTGTTGTTATTCTTGATATCAACAATCGATTCGCACAGGTATCCAGAGGAAACAAGAGCATTGGATCTCTCTCTCGCACACACAAAGAAAACCCCCATCCTTAAATCTTCTTCTTTTTTTCGCCCTTTGGAGTGAACCCGTCTGGTCGCCGGTCGACTTGAATCCTAAAGAAGAAGAAAAAGAAATCCCTCTCCGTTACATATCTTATATTTCGGAGCTGGCCAGACCTCGTCAGGTCCAGATAGTTTGACGCTATACACTGGGTGGTTGCTGTTTCTTCTTCTTCGAACACTGGGTGTCCTTTCCTCTCTGATTGTTACCCGCCCTTCTTTTCCTTTCTCGTGAGTTTTTTTTTTCTTTCCTCCTTTGGTTACAATCTATCGGGGACGACTGTACAGACGTGAAGTAACCTCTGTAGAAGACAATTTACTAACGAACATTCTATTCGACCTATTTTTGAATGATGGTTATGATATTACTAGAAAAAGCGACAGAAAGCCAATATGAGATCACTCCTCTTTGTCTTTGTCCTCATAGCAGCTGTCGAATCATTTTCAAGTCAAAGACTTGCACCTCGTCAAGCTCCCCAGACGCCGCCGACACAGCCCCCTCCTGGACCACCAACCCAGGCCACACTGCCTGCTCCTAAATTGGAGGCAGCATCAAATACTCTTCCACCTCCTGGCACCAAGGGAATTGGCGCGGTTGTCGTTGAGGCTGTTCCCGGCGGTGGAGCCGGAACAGCCGGCGGTGGTGGGAAAGACAGAGGTGATGGTGGGATTTTGAAGGTTGAAGGCGGTGGTGGTGTTGGTGGTGCTGGTGGTGCGGGATTAGGAGGTGGTGGTGCTAGTGCTGGTGGTGCGGGAGGAGGAGGAGGTGGTGCTAGTGCTGGTGGTGCGGGAGGAGGAGGTAGTGGTGGTGGTGCGGTATGTCTTCTTCCTCTTGACAAATCGTCACACAAGTCAACCCAACGAAATACTGACTTGTCTTAAAACTGTCGGATCTTTGTCCTACTTTTTTTGTTGCCCTTAGGCTCCCGGAGATATCAACCTTACGATCCTGAACTTCGCACTGACGCTTGAGAACCTTGAGGCCCAGTTTTATCAAGATGCATTGGCGATCTTTCCCGTCCAAGCGATGCAGAAAGCCGGCCTAAGTCTCTTCCAAGTGAGTGCGCCTTTCCTCCAACTTTGCTCTTACTCCAGACCCTAACAATTGTTCTCTTGTTTGTTTTTGTAATCAAGGCAACAGCCATCACCCAACAAATGCAGCGCCAATTAGCTGACGAACAATCGCATGTTCAAGTGCTTCAAGCGGCCATCCAAGCTGCGGGCGGGACGCCATTCTCGGGATGTCAATTCAACTTCCGCTCGATCCTGACCGACCCGATCACCTTTCTAGCCTCAGCACGCTCGATAGAAGCCGCCGGAGTGAGTGCTTACATGGGTGCCGCTTCCATGATTTCCCAGAACGCCGTACTCTCTGCCGCAGTCACTATCCTCCCCGTCGAAGCCCGTCACTCTACCCTCCTCAACACGTTCTCCGGCGGGAGCGCTTCCCCTCAGTCCTTCGACCTCCCCCTCTCTCCTCCTCAGGTCTTGGCTATCGTTGGTGGCTTGCTGCAAAACTGTCAAGCTTCTGATCTCGGACTCACTGCCAATCAACCCCTGAGTATTATTGACGGTGTAACACAGGTAAGCAGTCGGACTTTTTTTTCGTTTCAAAACGTCAAGGCATCTCTCAATCATCTTAACATTTTTCAAAAAAAAAAAAAAAAAAAAACTGCCCTCCTGTAGAGTACACTGTTTACGGCCGGATCAATTCTTCAATTCCAGACATCAGCTCAGGTGCAAAACTTGGAAGCCAGAACGCTCTCATGTCAGATGCTAGTTGGGGGCATGAACACTGCGCTAGTCATGCCTGCCTCGTCCTGCATCATCCCGTCCCAAACGTCCAATGGCCCGTTGAATGGACTCGTGGCCGTTTATCTTACCTCGAACGCCCAGCCCTTGACCTCCTCGTTGAAAGGCCAACCACAGAACGTGGTCGCTGGACCGGCGTTGATCTTTGTTGACTCCAACCAACAGGAAGTCTTGTCGCAGGTAAGTCTCGATCCCAAGACCTTCTTTCTGCTTCCCCCTTGATCTACTTGATTGTGCAATTCTCCTGATATGTTCATGTTCTGTAATTTGCTCAGGTGTTCATCGTCAAAGGGCTGAATCTGAAGAATCTCCCGACTGCCAACCTAGCCTCGGCAGCGCTGACCCCACAAGGCTCGACGACGCCAAGTGTGAATCTGGACGACAACCCTGGTATTGGGGGCACGTCGGCATCGGCCCGGAACGTAGAAACCAACAAGAAGACCACCGCCCGTAACAGCACAACCGCTGCTGGCTCGCCCCGTAAGCTCGTCCAAACCGACTCTGCCGAGCCCGCCGAACCCTCCAAGAGCGGTCTCAATCAGGCCTTGCTTGATGTCTCCTGGTCGGCTATCCCCAAGGGCGTCGTCCAAAACCCTTCGCAGCCTTCATGACCCCGAGCTTGAAACTCCTTCTTTCTTTCCCGAAATCTTAGACCTTATGTGTCTCTCCTTCTCTCCTTCCCCCTCTCTCTTTCTCTCTCTTCTCTTCCCTTCCTATCTTATCCTTTCGAAGAAATATACCCACACATCCTTTCTTTGAGGGAGCATGTTATAAATGAGCAAGCTATTAAATTAAAAAAAAAAAAAAAACTAATCATAGAATCATTCGGTGTAATACTCATTCTACTAATCGATACTTTCGTTATTGACATCATTTTTCTCATTCTCCTTTCTTTCTTGTAATTCTATCAAAGAACAAAAATCACTTGTATTGTTCATATGACAGCCACTTCCACCTCTTCTTGCTTTTTTACAACTAATTGACCTTTCTTCTATGTATGTTATGATAGCATTGAATTGAAAATCACTCTTCACAGTTATTTCGTTTTTTTTTTCTGAAGATGATAGATGATAGATGATAGATGATGTGCTACAACATACATATATTGGCATGATTCTCTTTTCTTTGTTGGAACTTGAAAGGACACCAAACCCAATTCTCAATAACCATGACAATAATCAAGTATGTATGCTGCAAGACCGATCTTTCCTCTCATGTCGTGTATATTCCTAGAGTAAGATCATCTCAAAGTCGTCTGATCATATTTAATTCCCAAAATCCACATGAAAAGAAAACCCAAGCTGAAGCAAAATGATGATCCTTATATAAGAGCCTCTTGTAGCACACATAATCATTTCACTGTTGTGTCTGTCTGTATGTCTGTCTGTGTTTGTTTGTTTGACGTAGGAACAGGAAGAGATGTGAATAAAAGATACAAATGAAAGACAAAGTAACAAGCCCGGATTTTCCCTTTCTTTAGCTCTTCAACACGACCAACCACAGAGAGAATCTATACCAGAAGTTGTGAGGATGAGAGACAGAATGCAGAAGGGCCGAGGAACGAAGCCTATTCGAGCCGTTAAGGATTTGTATCCTGAGAGGTACATGGTCAAGAGACTGATCAAGCGAGCAGCATGGGCGATGGAAGGGTGAGTAGGTCAGTGCAACATTCTAGGCTAGGTTGGCGCCGAGTTGAATCGACATGGAATGAGAGAGTGGATCGGGGGAGCCAGTGCTTGAAATATGCAATTATCAGGTTCAAGCTCTCTTGTTGCAGTTATTCCAACTTGGTTGTTGAGATCTCAGTGGATGGATGGATTGGGGATGTTGTATGAGATACAGGGTGGAGTTGAGTACAAAATTTTACCCCGTTTGCTGATCTCCGACTGTTTCACATCAACTTAAACCAAACCAAACCATTCCAGGAGCAACTCCGACCGGAAGGACGCACACTCGACTTTTAACGAAAGGATAGGATGGAATACATTTCTACCAGGGGAGGTGGTGAAAGCCTTACATTTGAGCAGGTTGGTCATCGAAGTTGAACTACAAGCATAGGATCTCGAACCTTACTAATTCATAAATGGATTTCGATTTTTTTTTTTTACAATGGACGAAAAATAAACAAATCAGACGGTCTTATCAGGATTAGCACCAGACGGAGGACTATACATCCCCAAGCGGATACCAGAATTACCGAAGGACTGGGAATCGAGATGGTCTCAATTAAGCTTCACCGAGCTTGCCCTGGAGATCTATTCGTTATTCATCCCGAGCGAGGAGATCACACGTGCGGAACTGAAAGAGTTGATCGAGCGTTCCTACAGCACCTTCCGCCACCCAGCCATCGCCCCGCTGAAGAAGCTGACTCCGAGCCGATACGTGGTCGAGCTTTGGCATGGGCCGACGTTCGCCTTCAAGGATGTCGCTCTCCAGTTCCTCGGTAACCTCTTCGAGTTCTTCCTCAACCGCAAGAACCTCAACAGACCCAAAGATTCTCCCGCCGAGAGGATCACCGTCGTCGGCGCTACCAGCGGCGATACCGGTAGCGCAGCTATCTATGGCCTCAGAGGTAAAAATGATATCTCCATCTTCATCCTTCATCCTAAGGGCCGCGTCAGTCCTATCCAGGAGGCTCAAATGACCACCGTTCTCGACGATAACGTCTTCAACTTGGCCGTCAATGGAACGTTTGATGATTGTCAAGTCAGTCTCGAGCTTCCCCTAAAACCACTCTCCCCCATGGAATTCGGGAAACTAATCCGACATCGATTTTTTTATTCTTTTTTTTTGTTCATCAGGACATCGTCAAGACCTTATTTAATGATACCGAGTTCAACTCGACCTACCGATTAGGGGCAATCAACTCGATCAATTGGGCCCGAATCCTTGCCCAAATCGTCTACTATTTCTCCTCCTATTATGCCCTTCGACACACCCTGAAACCCAAGCAGGCCTTGCAATTCGTCGTGCCTACGGGTAACTTCGGTGATATCCTCGCTGGCTTCTATGCCCATAAACTCGGACTACCCATCGGTATCAATGGGACTACTCCTGGCCTCGTGATCGCTACCAATTCTAACGATATCTTGACTAGGTCAATTTCCTTTTTTTTTTCTCGTTTTTCTCTTCATTTTGCTCTTTCCTCCCTTTTGAAATGAATGATTATATATGCTGATTGAAGGTCGTTGGTTGAATAGATTTTGGGAAACTGGGAAGTACGAAAAGCAAGCTTCGACAGACGACGAGCAATCTTCACCAAATCATACGACTGTCCAGACTGCGCCTGTTGTTGGATCGTCCGATGGCAAACAAGCTAGTGATCCCAAGCATGGGTTCGTCAAGGAAACTCTTAGCCCGGCGATGGATATCTTGGTCTCGAGTAACTTCGAACGTCTACTATTTTACTTGGCTTTTGATACGTCAGTCTCTCTCTCTACTACTCGCCCTATATAAGATTGATGATGACAAAACCAATGTTGAAATGACGAAACATTGTAAAAAAACACACGCAACAGTTTGACCGAATCGAAAGACCCAGAAGAAGAGCGGATCAAGTCTTCACAAGCCAAGGTAAAGGAATGGATGAGCCAGTTGAAGAGCACCGGCCGATTCCGAGTGCCTGAGTCGACCCTCCAGGCCGCTCGCGCCTTGTTCTCGGCCGGAAGAGTCGACGATGAACAGACCAAGCAGACCATCCGGCGCTACTTCAATGCCGACAAAGACGTGCTCGAGGATGGCCAACGATACGTTGTCGATCCTCACACTGCCGTCGGCCTCTTCGTTGCTGAGAATCTTAAGCCGGGGTAAGACTGTCCCCCTCTAGTTGACCAAACATATCCTTGAGCAGTGACTAAAAACCTGGTGATCTTCTTCTTCACTTGAATCGCTCCCTTGTTGCTTTTTTTCTTTCTTAGGGGTCAAGAGGAGGTGCTTCAAGCAATCCTGTCAACCGCCCATCCGGCCAAGTTCGCCGAAGCCGTCACTCAATCGATCCTCACCCAACAAGCTTCGTCCGACCATCCCCCATCTTCGTTCGATTTTGAGCGCGACGTCTTGCCCGTCCAGTTTATCGGACTGCTCGACAAACCCAGGAGAGTGATCGATGTTCATGGAATTGAGATCCAGCTCACCAAGGACGTCATCATCTCCCATTCGAATGCTCTCATTAGTCCTTCCTCAAATCTCGATCCTACGACTAGCGTTTAAACCTCTCTCTCTCTCTCTTTCTTTGGGTTTTTTTTTTCTTTCCCGAGCGCTGGACGGGCTTTCGGTCGTCGACTTTATTTCCCTTGTTTAGCTTGGCTCTTTCTTTCATTTTACGCCTCTCATTTTTCACTCATCATGCCGACCAATAACTCCAATCACAATCAAAAGCATATTTCTTCTTATCTCAAACATTGTCATACCCCCCCCCCCCCGCCTTCCCTCCTACCAAAAGAAGTCTTTCTTGTTTTAATCTTGAGAGATGTTGTAGGGAGTTGCTCTTATCAATTGAACATCAAACTTGACATAAATTCTCAAATTGAAAATAATTGAATAATCATTAATGTGCACATACAGTAACATAAAGTGAAACACAATATTTCAAAAGAAAAATGATATACAAACCACAATAAATGGAGGGTGTTCAACAAGAGGAGAGGGTATTATGTAAGTGAAGACGGAATTGATATATGATAGAGGATCACTTGTGGATCATGAAGTCATCAAGCTATGGATCTATGGATCTATCCATGTATCTACCAATCCACAAACTCCTTAGAGGATTGGTTGAGTTGGACATGTTATATGCTGTCAAACTTCCAGCAAATCTTAGCAAGCTAGGAGCTGTGTGGTCTGTTGGATCTCTGTGGAAGCGGATCAAGGGGACAGACATTGGCATGGCTTTGTAGGTCCTCCTCTTGTCTTGATTGATCTGTTTGTTTGGCTTATGGGTTCTGTTTCCTGATCATCAATGGATGTTCCTTTCATTTTTCTTCTTCTTCTTCCTTTGAGATTCCATCCATCAGTTATCACCCTGTCTTATTGTATACTGCCGTGCAGCCATCAAACAGGAACTTGACAGGACCCTGGAAAAACTCCCCTCTTTATAATGGGGGCTAACCAGAGGCCTTCATTTGGCTCAAGGTTTGTGCATTTCCTTATGTGTCTGTTTTGTGCGGCCTACTCTTGCTCTAAGGGGGCCAAGAATGCTCCATGTAGTTTCACGCATTGGTCTGTTTTTTCTGCCAGAAGGTATCAAACTACTGTGGGCTTCTCCACTCCTCTCTCGTCTGGATTTCTATCTCTTTCTCTCTTCTCGGAACATCAAGAGTATCTATCATCCCTGGAAAACAATTCATCTGAAAAGGTGTACTACTACAGAGTTGATGGAAACCCTAAAAGGCAAAAAACAAATAAGAAAAGAATCATCAATTTTGGGGGTTGGAAAAACAACTCCTATTTCAGTTGAGGGGCCATTGGTGTGTGGTGTCCTTGATTTTACCAAATTTGATTTGTTGGTTGGGTATCCAAGAAAATGCACATCAATGCTTTCATCTGACTAGTGTAAACGGAGGCGAGAGCCAGAAGTCGACATCGCTCTCTACTTCTTTTCGACCATTGACATGCAAAGCCCTATTTTTATGTTCAATAAGATCAGCTGCGGTATGCTGTGAACTGCCGTTGATGGACATACCTTATCAGTAGCCTGTAGTTGCCATTTGGTAAGGGAGTTGGGGACTGGTCAATGCCACCAGTAACAATTGTTGCATCCCAAATGGTAGTGTAGAAGTCGCCAAGCCTGTATGATTGTAGAACAGAAATTTTGATTTTAATTTTGCTGCAGGATTGGGAGTTGACCTCCCAATTGAACTTTTTTTTGGGAGGAGTCAGTGCCCCAAACCCTCCTTGGCAAATGGGAGGTTTGGGAGTTGCCTCCCTCCCACTGGCCAGGAGGGATTCCCTTTGGCCATCAAGACTGTACGGTCTGAATCCCTTCCGGTTGTCCATTGAGACCGGTCTTGATGGCCGGAAAGAATCCCTTCTGGTCTTGATGACCTGAAAGGATTCCCTTCTGGTTGTTGAGACCAGTATTGATGGCTGGAAGGAATCCCTTCTGGTTGTTTGTGCTGTAGAATCTCAATGGCCAGAAGGGATTGGTCTTGATGGCCAGAGGGAATTCCTCCTGGCCAGTGAGAGGGAGGCAACTCCCAAACCTCCTACTTACCAAGGAGGGTTTGGGGCACCAACTCCTTCCAAAAAAATAAAATAAAAGGAAAGTTGAGAGGTTGACTCCCAATTCAGCAGGAAGGATTGGAAAAACAAATCCCGCCAATGGCCCCTCGACTGAAATGGGAGTTGTTGAACATTTGGTGGTTGTTTCCCCAAGCCCCTAAATTCTAGGTAGAATGCCCTTACAGAAAAACCTTGATTTGTATATTTTTGGTCTCTCCCTTTTGATTTTTTTTCCAACTGATGCACGTGTGTTGGGAACTTGACCCAATTAACTTTCCCTTTGTTTGATAGAAAAGCTTTCCACAATAGTGGCTTTACAGATACACAAGGGTCTTATTTAATAAACTCCCAGAAATTTGAGTTCTGACTCCCAAATTCCAGGGACTTTGAGAGGAACATCTGAAGATGTGGACGGTCCTCAGGACATCCAACCTAGAGATGGCGCTTGATACCCAGGTACCCGCAGCGGGTGCAGGTACCCGCCTCAAAAATCCCTTTTTTGGACACCCGCACCCGCACCCGCACCCGCCAGGTCTGCCAGGGCGGGTACCCGCGGGTGTGGAGGGGTATATGGGCCTCATTGGCCGGAAGGGATTCCTTCCGGTCGATGAGGCTGTTCCACCTCATCGATCGGAAGGAATTCCTTCCGGTCCAATGAGGCTGTTCCACCTCATCGATCGGAAGGAATTCCTTCCAGTCAATGAGGCTGTTCCACCTCATCGATCGGAAGGGATTCCTTCCAGTCGATGGGGTTGTTATACCTCATCGATCTGAAGGAAATCCTTCCGATCGATGAGGTATAAAAACCCCATCGACCGGAAGGAATTCCTTCCGATTGATGAGGCGTGTAAAGTCTCAATGACCAGAGGAATCCCTCCGGCCATTGAGACAGTGTACAGTCTCAAAGGCCAGAGGGTTCCCTCCGGCCTCAACAAGCCCATGTAGGACACCAACTGGTGTCCTACATGGGTTGCTGACACCCTGGTGCAGCCCAACACGCCCAAAACTCCATTCCCAGGGCGGGTGTCAAGGTGGGTACCCGGGTACCCGCCATTTTTTGTCCCAAAACTCGGCACCCGCACCCAGCACCCGCGGGCGGGTACCTGCTCCGGAGAACAGGTACCCGCAAACAGGTACCGGGTACCCGCAAACGGGTACCCATTGCCATCTCTAATCCAACCCTGTAATTGAGAGTCAGACCTTCAAAACCTTCAACAGTTTTGGGAGTCCATCCCCAGATAAAAAAATAACCCCCACATGGGTTTTTGGGAGTTGATCCTCTTAAAACCCCATTGGGGTTGGGAGTTGGTGCTGGGGAGCTCTAAGAGGGATTCCTCCTGGTTGTTGAAAGCATACACTCTCAGCAGCTGAATTCCTTCTGAGTCAATGAGAGTTTACAGCTCTCAGCGGCCAATAGGGATTCCTCCTGGCGGAGCATACACTCTCAGCATCAAACTTAACTAAGTCCCCTCCTGGGAGCAAGAAAGAGCAAACATTTTTGGCATGAGAGGTTTTTCATAGAGATGGGCGGGGATAATCCGTCGCGGATATCCGCTATCCGCTGGCGGATACCCGCCAGTGCCAGGGGATATCCGCTGGCGGGTGCGGATGCCCCCTTTTCCGTGAAATCCGGGTATCCCCAAGGATACCCGAGGCCGGAAAGAGGAGATGGCCGGCTGGAAGGATTTCCTTCCAGCCGGCGAGGATGTGCCTTGCCGGCCATTTAGAGGGCGGGTATCCGAGGATATCCGCTCGGATACCCGCTGAGGCGGGGGGATATCCGCCAGGGGGTGCGGATGCGGGTGCGGATGCCGCTTTCCCCGGAAAAAGAGACCGGATATCCGCATCCGCGCGGATATCCGGATCCAAAGCGCCCATCTCTAGTTTTTCAGAATTGGCAGGTATTTTTCTATTTTTTGACTCAATTTTGAATTATACAAGGCATGGTGGAATGGAAAACACAAGGGCAGAAGCTTTGAACTTGCTCATCTCCTCACCAAATTTGGTGGCCCTTATTTCCCTCCTTCCTCCCACACAATTAAGGATGGTAATTGGGCCGGGTGTCCAGCGGGCCGCCCGAACCCGACTGGGTTTGGGACGGGCTCGGG